GTGAAATTAGGCATGATAAATCATGTCCAGACCTCCTCCTTTCTGTCTGTGTTGTCTGATCTGAAATACATTGGCAAATTTAGGATCCATACTGCATTGGCGGTAGCAGCAATGGTTGATGGCGCATCAACTCAAGTATTGAACCTTTTCCTCTAAACTGGGCTTGATGAAAGAAAAAGTGTTTGTCTTTCATGCCGGAATCATTTCAACTGCCTTCAGTGGGGTAGAAACATACTTGAACTCCTTTTCTGCCTGCATTTGGACTTGGCAACAATATTGCTTGTTTCAAAATTTTTTGAGCATCTGCACAGCTTTACTCTATGTGAAGATTTCCAGGCTGCTTCTCTGTAGTTGTGTATTTTCTTTTGTGCTCCCTACTGTCAGATAGCAATATGAAAGATTTGTCCTGCTTTAGTTAAAAACAAAAGAGGTAAAAATTAAAGAACAACCTAAATAAAAATTAAGATAAGTGCAAGTAGAATTTAAAAGAAAAGGAATCTAAATACAAGGCTCAGTCTTCCATTCTATACTTAGATAAAAATACTTCTGCAACTGCATACTTACTTAGTTCAAGGACCTGCGATTAAAAGTTTTAAAAAGAAGAAAATCAGACCATGAAGTTATTTTTTTCCCTTCTTTGAGCAAGGCTTTTCAATATAAGCACTGAAATGATAATGTTTAAGAAAATTAAGTGCTTGACATAGCAAATCACAGGACATTCAAATTGTTAAATAAGCTGATGAATATCTGTAACCTGTAGTATAGATCTGAAGATGGTACCTTCAGCAGTGGAGTTGAGGTGATGGTTAAGCCTGGAGGAAAAATATATAGAAAAATGCAGAGACAATCATAACTAATACACTTAAAAAAATTAATGAGGGAGAATGGTATTGCTGATGCACCATTTGACAGGTCCAGAGTGGTGCTTCTCCTTAATAACATGACATGGCTGTATATAAGGACTTACTGAGGCTCTTCAATTGCTGGTGGGTCAACAAGACTCTTCTTTGGTGGACTTGGAACCTGCTGAGTCTTTTTGTGACATGACTGATGTCATGCAAAAGTTCTTGCAAGGGGATTTGAAAAGAGGCAATATAGGCTGTATCTGCAAGCTGTGTTTGCTGTACTGAAATGTATGGGCTATCCATAAGCACCATTTGTTTCAAATCAACTTGAGATCCTTACGAGCAATGTCCTAAATTTGCCTAGATCCAGGTGTCTAGCACACCTGTGTGATCTGAAACTAGTCATTTCTGCCAACTAGCGAAATGTAGTGTGGTGTTGTGCACTTTGCTACTTAGACATCTGCTCGTGCATATTCCCTCCTGCCTCTCCATACTTACATGTATATACGCTTGTATTTTGCTTACTGCTCAGCCAAGGTGGTCCAGAGCAAGACTTATGCAGGTAGGACGATAGAAATTACATTTCATACCTATTTCTCTCAAATTCACCATAAGCTTTTGCTGGAATATAGTTCCTCAGCTGGTGTGGCTTGCTTAAGTATGACCAAAAGTAAAGCCTGGGGATCAGTGTGTTTGCTGTGATAAGTATTTTGAGTGGCTTCCTAAGAGATAACTAGTATTAGTGCCGTTTTTGAGGAGATTAATTAATTTGAAACATTAAAATGCTAAGGGTAAGTAGAAGGCAAAAAGAAAAAACAAATTTGTGCATAAAGTGAGGCTGGTTATAGCAGGGTTACTTTAAACAGTGAAAGTGGTAACTGTTAACATGACCAAATTCAGTTCTTGACTGGTCTTGCTTGATTAGATTGATTAGTGTTTTGTGGGGCTTTATTTAAGTCTTTGGCTTTTAATTTTCAGCCTGTTATGAGGCAGAAGTTTTCCAAAAAATGGCTAGGCCTTGGAGGCCTGTATTTAAAAGCTCAGTAAGAATGTATTCTTTGGTACTGACAAAGCATGTGGCCTGTTACTGCTTCAGGCCATGGCTTTGCTACACTCTAAAAGATAAAGGCCATATTCTTCCCTGGATTTTCATCACTTCCACAGTTGCTGAATGGCCCAGCTTTGTTGGTGGTTCCCAGCCCATGGCTAACCCAGTGCACAAGTCGGTGTGGCTGACCGACACGCTCACCTGCCTGAGCTTTGCAGCTGGGTGCACTGAAGCAGGCTGGTTTTCCTGTTGAGCCTCTCTAAGTATCATTCAAGTCTGTCACTGGGAGAGTGCTCTGGGACCTTTGAAAATTGGAAAAATTTGTTACAATATGTCTAAAACTGGTAATCTACTCAGGAAGTAGTACTCTACTCTAGAACATTTCTTTTAGGCTTTTCCATTTACAAACTGTTCCTCTATCTGAAGTGTAATTTATACCACAGAATTCTCCCTGTTTTTTTCTTGCTTACTTTGAGGGTGTTTCCCTCAAAAAACAACTTTGTTAAAATTGATCCCGTGGTACATAAGCAGGCGAAATTATACTGGGTGGTCGCTGAGGGGCTGTGGTGCTCCTGTGTGAGGCAAGGCCAGGGCCGTCCCGTGCCTCCCTGTGGAAAGGTGTTGTTTTAATGTCTGTCTGTTCCTCACTACCCATTTCTATTGTAATTGGCATTAAGATGACTTAAGTTTCCCAAACCAAGTCTGTTTTGCTTGTATTGGCAACTGGTAAATGGTCTTCCTGTTTTTGTCTCAACCCGTGAGCTTTCTCATCTTGGTTTCCCGCCCAGTCTTGGCGAGGACGGGGAGTGAGAAAATGGCTGAGTGGGCATTTGGCCCTTAGCCAGGCCTAACCCTGCATGAAGTTAGGTGCTCGCTTGGGTTAAACAGCCATTCAAGTCTCTCTGTGACAGCACATGCCTTGCAGAGAGCTGACAGGTATAACATGGTGGGATCTGTCCCTTCTGGGACAGGTCAGGAGAACCTGGAGGCCCCATGAATTGTACAAGGCACTGACCAACATGTGGGCCTCAGGCCGAGCTCAGAACATGATTAGATCTGCCACAGCAAGTCAGGTTTCTGTCTGTCTGTTTCTGAAGAAAATGGGGTTGATAAAAGCCTTAGCTGATGCACTTATGCGAGTTTGAGCCCTTCAGTGGATCAGACCACTACAAGTCTTGTCACAGCGTTATTTCACTGTACATCACTTTGCTTTTGTTGAGTTTTTATTCTGTGACCTTAGTTAGTTACATTAAGAGTCTGTGTTAAGTGAATTCCCAGTGTTTCACCTCTTCTGACAAGCAGTGGCATGTTTATTTCTGAACATATCGTCATTAAATACAATACACTAAAATGCTTTAATTACTGATGCTGTAAAATAAGTAAAACTGGTATAGATGTAAGCTATTGTAATTTGTAAGAGTGGTGTGTCTTTCAGAGCTAAGTGAGTTGAACTGGAAAATATTTCATCAGACGAATGAAAATTAAGCAACAGTTTTGAATCTGGTTCTAATATGATACATAAATAAGGAAACTCTAAAATTAAATCAGCATTCTTAAGAAAATGTAAATCCTTTTACTGATTACTTGTTGCTAGCAGAAAGCAACTGAGGTTTTCTGAATGAGTTCCTTGTGACTGTACCTGTGATGGCAACGGCAGAGAGAGTATCTTGTCTGAATTATGCTTGCTTTCTCGTAAAATTTGCCTTACCATTCGTGAGAATCTCTCCACGAGTTCCTGGGGAATTGGTAGGGAGTTACCTTGTGCCTGGCTGAAAACAGGTAGCAGTGTCCACGAGATGGAAGCAGACACAAATAACTGGACATTTCAAAGCCTGCATAGAGCTCGTAGGCTTTTGTTGTTTAAGCAAATATATGCAGGTACTGTTTAAACTCTTGAATCTGCTGTGTTCACCTGGAGATTATTTTATTTTATTTTTATTTTATTTTATTTTATTTTATTTATTTTATTTATTTTATTTTATTTTATTTTATTTTATTTTATTTATTTTATTTTATTTTATTTTATTTTATTTTATTTTATTTTATTTTATTTTATTTTATTTTATTTTATTTTATTTTATTTTATTTTATTTTATTTTATTTTCTCATTGTTATGTAGATTTCACCCTGGCAGTTTAATTTTCTCTGAACTTGCTGTCGTTTGGCATTGGTAGTCATTATGTGCACACTAGCCTATGCCTCCTGGGAAAGGATGGGTGAAAAGTTTCTTGGTTTAAATAGAAAAATAAACCAGATTGATCTTAAATCTGTTTATTGTTAAGTGTTGCATGTCTGAGAGAGGTGGGGGGTGAAACAAAATTTGAGACGTGAATTCACTGTCATGTGTTTCGTCATATGCTCACGTCCAGGTATCTATCTCAGTATCTAACTTGTTTGTCTGGCTGGTGCTGGAACCCTTTGTTTTTTGGAGTTCTACAGAGACTCATTATAAATCCTGAAGGAGGCAAAATACCCATCAACTTTGGTTTGAGTTTTGTTTGAAGGCAGACAGCAAGACCTAGTATGTGAATCAAAAACCTGGCAAGGCTAGGAAAGCACGGCTCAGTTAATACAAGCACTTGCATACATTACAGTGAAGACTACTTGCTGCCATGTTTATTTTATAGTAGAGTATGTCCACAAATAACAGAAAGAGTTCCTGTAGAAATGAGAGAAATATCTCAGTGCAGTGAACTTTGATGATTTTTGGAGTTCTGAATTTAGCGTTTGATTTCTCTGCAGCACTGAAGTTTCCTATCTCACAAATTGGGCAGTATATACTGAAAATATAACAAACCTTAAAAATCATTTTTAATTTATTCAGGAAAGACCCATTTCTGACAGTGTGTGTCTCCTGTTCCTGGTAACTTGACTCAGGGCTCACAGAATTGGCTCCAAGGAGCTTGGGTTTACTGTTAGAGCCGTGTCAGAGCTGTTGGTTTTTCCTCAGGCTAACAGTCTACATCTGATTTTTATTTGAAATGTTTTTCTTTTTCATATTTAGCCTGGCATTGTTTTATATGTGTGTGAATGTAGTAATTGGATGATAATAATAATTGGAAACTGATGCTTTTGAAGTTTTCCAAATGAGCAGGGTAAAACTCATGATGGCCCCACCTTGTTGCAGTGATTTCAGTACAGATAAGATGTTTTGGGGTGCTGTAAGGTACTTTTAAAACTGGGGGGTTTATAGAACATTACAGGTATCTTTTTGCAATATCTCTGTGGTCTTTGCATTTACTTCATTTACAGAACCACTAGAAGGCCAAATGTATATTTTTGGAGGGGACTCGGAGTCACTTGGAATGAAAGGAAGTTTGCATCCCCAGAGATGCACATGACCTGGTATCTGAGTTGCAAAAGAAAGCTAAAATATTGCAAAGCCTAATTTTTATGAAGTTATCAGCAAAGTAGTACCATGAGAAACTCCTGCCAACATGCTTTTTTGGTGTTACAGCAGAATCGCAGGAAACTAAAAAGCTAATGGATCTACCTCACCATGTCCAACTTCAATTTTTGGTTTTACTTTTATTTAACAGGAGTGGGACTCCAACTCCAGCTTCGGATGCTGATGTTACCACACTGAGAGGTCAGTTTTCAGCTAAATTATGTCAAGTCTGATTACTTGAAAATGGAACAACCTGATGGCTTGTGGATTTGAGAGCTGTGAATTCTTCCATCTCCAAATAATGCTGTTTGTGATCTGGTGATCAGGTTGCTGTTATTTTGTGATGAAATGAATTGAAAATGCTACTTGAGAAATTACTTCTGTGCAATTTTTACTGCACTTACTTCGTGTTGCCCAGAATACATTCTCTTAGAACATTAGCATTTGATTCTGACTAGCATATTTGATGCTTTTTCTGAGGCTCTTTGGGTGTTTTCTGTGGTATTTCTGTCATGATGATGGGAATCGAGTGTTACTGTTAGTTTACACTTGCTGAACTCGTGTGTATCTACATGTACATGAGAAAAAATAATACTACTGCTCTCTTGCAAACTCAGATGCAGCTGCCAACGTTCCTCCCCCTCATGAGGTGTCCATTGAGAGTCCTGCAGGTGGTACCATCCCTGAAACTGAAGATGCAGACACAACTGTGAGTGCTTGTATTAAGATTTCAAAAAAGCAGGGCATGAACCTTAGAAACTTTTAAATAATTTCCTAGGTAGGTGTTCTTTTGTTTGCAGTGGCTTTGCAGTGTAGCTGCCCCCTCAGTGAGAGAGCAAATCAGCTGAGCTGTCAAGTGAAGATTTTGATATTGATGTAGAACTAGACAGTGAATATCTAGGGCTTTTGAAAGCTCCATGAAGAAATTGAATTGGTGTTATTCCTATGGAAACACAATGCCCCTTAAATTGCTGCCCTAGTGTTAGAGTGGTCCGAGTGGTACAGCTGCCTAAGGCAGCAGAGGTAGCCTGGATAGCCTGGAAGAATCCTTCTGATTCCCTGCTTCTTTTTCCCTGCTGACATAGATGAATTTTTATTTATTGTCTTACAGTCACCCTCACCTTGATACCTAAAACAAAACTCTAACACAGGGAAGCCTAGAGCAAGTACTTGAAGCACCTCTGTAAAAGTGAGCTGGCTTTCAAAAGTGCTGACCACCAAATAGGTCCCAGGGAAGTATTTGCTTCCAGGAGACAGCTCCTCGGGATTAAAACTTAAGCCCAAACTCTAGATTCCAACTGTGGTATTTGTCAGCCTACATGCCCCCTGAAGAAAATTTTTCAAACGAATAGTATGCATCAGCTGGCACTTGTTTTTATGTAAGTGTGAAACTCTCACTGGATTTAGTGATGAGCTTACAAAATTGCACATGCTGCATACAAGTAGAAGCTGATTTATGGTACTGAGTTTAACTGTGCACTGTTCTGTAGCCTAGCACGGCCATGACACGAAGCTGGGCCAAACTCTGTGCTTTTTGCTAGAGCTTTCACAGCTGACTGCTGAGATCTGATATTGTGATTCCAGGAATAAACACTGAGTATGAAATAGGCAGACAGCTTCTGACTCAAGTCCAGGGTCTGATTTTATATTTATGTACCACAAACGAGTGGTTTGGTCCCATGTACACCATTATTCTTTTTTTGAAACAGAACTGCCTGAGCAGAGAGTAAGACCACTCAGTAAATCAGAAAGAACCCAGAATTTGATTGCTGCTGCCTACAGTGTTTTCACTCTCTACAGTTACCTCACACCTCATCATTGCTCCGAACAGCCAAAATGCACTGCAGGTTACAAGACCAAGAGCGAGCAAAGCTCATCTTCTGCACTCACGTGTTGACTGGACTTTTGTTTCTGAGGGACTGATAAATGACTCAAACTACGTGGAGTTGCAAACAGTCATGTAGGAGCAGCAGATACATGCAAGCTAATTATATATTTGCCAAATACTAACCAGCTTTAAGCAGGGTGCCAATCATTCTGGTTCTTAATGAAGTTGTTTAGTCAAAAAAGGGTGTGGGGAAGAAGAGAATTTAAGTAAAACTTAAACTTTACTTAAGTAAGTAAGTAAATAAATAAATAAATAAAATTGGAGGGGCCCTAAATAGTATACAAGTTGCTCACAGGTGGCAGCTAAATTTTGTGGAGCTCCATTTTGGACTCCATACATAATACAGACTGCAGTTTTGCTGAAAAAGTGTGTTTTGCTGGCTCTTTTTTTTTTTCTTTTTAATAGGGAAAAAGCAACAGTTGCATGTCAATAGCCAAAGACATTCTTGTTAACTTACACCAGCCTTCCCTCTCAAATTGCAAATTCCAAATTTTTGTTCTAGAATAAAGCCATGAAACAAGATCTGTTTTTTCTTGCCTTTCAGTACACCACAAAAATATAGTATCCTGGTTGTAAAATGCCAGGGAACTAAGCAGGAAGCGCTCTTCCTGTGTTGCTCACTGACTGAAGTTAGATGAAAATTGGACTGGAATTCACTGCTGCTAGCAGCAGCCGTGGCAGTTCCCGAAGCTGAACATCCCAGGGTGTTTGTACACCCTGGACATGGGGAATGTAGAACTTGGCAGAGGTTCACCTTCCAGGTGGGACAGGAAACAGGAACCTTGTGATAAACGGGTACATTTTGGGTAAGTCAGCCCCCTGCTGATTAGGCTCAGGTGACCTGTTGGTGTATCCACATTCACACTTTAAATTGCCTGACGAATGTCCCACCCAGCTGATTTTCTGTTTGTAACTCCATTCAACTAGATAACCTTGCACTTAAATGTGCAAAGGGAGAACAGAACTAACAGCAACATGAGAATACTATAAAATTGTCTTGCTCGCTAGGTTGTCTCATTAGTTGGCATCTCTGTGCCTGAGGCTCCCTGAGCACTCCATTCCAGCGTAAGGCAAAAGGTGTGCTGGGGACTCAAAGAAACATGCTGTGCTTTGGACTGCAGTTCCCACATCGTTAAATAAATTCGTCAGGCCATCTGTTTGGCCCACCAGTCATCAACCAATGTGTTGCTGTCCTTACAGCATTTATGGAGGAAGCTCGGGGTTTTTGCCACATCATAGGCCAGAGAAAACTCCAGGTCTGCAGTGGCTGGAGAAGTTTCTGGCCCGCATAAAAGAGGATATTTGGACCCAGGCTGAGTAATGGAGTGTGCTGACTGCTGACAGGACCATTTCTACATGCAAATATATCTGGGGATGCTTTCTACATGGAGTAAATCCAGGATAGGTAGGAATCTGGTCTGCTGGTCTGCAGTGAGTAAAGTGGATTTATTTCTTCAGGAAAAAAAAAAAAAAGAGGGAAAAAGTCACTAAATCACCTCTTGCTTTCTCCCTTCTCTACTTTTCTTCCAGATCAATAATGAGATAAAGAAGGAGGATGAGAATCTCATGAGGCCTGTAACTGAGCGGATGATTGAGTTCAGCATTGTGATTGTTGGAGAAAAGTACAGCGAGGAGCTGAGTGACCCAGACACCGTGAAGCGTCAGCTGCTCTCTGAACAATTTGTTTCTCAGGTGACTTACCTCTTTCTTTTTACTCTCTTTCTTTTTTACTCTCTTTGTCTCTTTCTTTTTACTCTTTCTGCAAAGCAATAGTAGCACCTGTACCAGGACTGCTCTGCAGAACCAGCTTAGGGCTTTTGTTGCTTGAGGCAGGCTGGAAATGCTCACTGTGAGAACACCCTCTTTTGTTTGACATGCTGCCTTTTTGAGATAGTGGGGCTGTGTGCAACATACCAGTTGCCAAACAATGAATCCAGTTTTCTTACTGTGTTTCTTATGAAATAGCCTGCTACCAGTTTTTGCAGAGGTAGACATATGGTTTTGGGGAGATGAGAAAATTATGCTAAGCTCCTGCATATTTACTCCAGGAAGAGACCTTTCTGAGGCACTTCCCCTGCTCCTGCCCCTTTCTGCTCGTATTTATTTTGCCTTATGTTAGCAGAAGAAACTAAGCCAGGTGTTATTAATAAATGAAAGAAAATTGCTCTTCGTTTAGTTCTTTTAAAGACTTGCTTTTACCAGGGCTAACTTTGGCCTTGCCATCCTTGCAGAACTTTTAAGTCTCTCTCCCTATCAGTGTTACAGAAGTAGAGGTTTAGAAGTCACAAAGAAGTGACAAGTTTCTCATTTGTCTTTTGGTGTAACTCCGTCAGTTCTTAAAGTTCTGGGTCTTAAAACTCTTTAATTTTAAAGATGTATTTAACATCTCTCTGGTGACCAGTCTGCCTAGAGTTTTTTTCAGAGCTTTTTCATCTTGTTTAGTTTTGAATTCTTCCATAATGTTGTTGCTTTGAAACCGGGAAGTGAAAAAGATTATTTGAAGGTCTTGGCAAACCAGGCTGCCCACACTCTCCCCAAAGGCAGGACGTGAATCAGCAGCAGTTCAGAACCATCAGCCTGAGCTGGGGCAGTGCTGGAAGGCAGCTCTGGCAGGTCAGGTACAGCACAGCGTCGTGTGCAGGGCAGGCAGAAGGCATTCAGGTCTGTCAGCATCTGCTGATGTGGGCATGGCTTGGGTTTCCTGCAGGAGCTGAGCACTTCAGCGGGATTTAGGAAATCTCGGTGGTTACACAGTGTCCAGATTTCTGATTGTAGAAAACTCCAGCTTCAAGCAAGAGCATCTGTCTGTGCAGAGTAGGTGACAGGTGGGGAAGTCACAAACAACAGAACTTGTCCGTGATTTCCACTCAGGAGCAGCATTTCGTTGAAAGAATCACTGCGTACTGCAGGGAGATACTCTTTGAAATCCAGGCTGCTAAGACAATTCTCAATCATCATTTATGTCCGGAATCAGCAATGCCTATAAGAACATTTTAAAACCCTCCAACTTCAGAAAAATTCTTAAGCACATCCTTTAATCCCACTGGAGTCAGTGGGAATGAACTACGGTTGAGACTGTTAGGCACCAACTTCAAAGAAAAATTGTATGTGTGCACATATATATATATAAATAAATATATATATATAAAGCATATCTATACATATGCATATATGCATGATTTATTAAATCTTCATTTCAAGTTAACTTAATCTGAATTAAATTGAATGTTTTAATGTCTTTCCTCTCCCTACTGTTCCCATTCATTTATTTTATTTTACTTTTCATTTATCATGGTAATCTTACAACCATAATTTTCTTGGGGCAGAAAGTTTGTCTTTCCTTTCTCTTGGGAGAAGCATCTAGGGTGCCAAATGGTAGGGTCATCTTTTTTTCTAGCTTTGCTTCCTTCTTTGTCCCATTTAGTTGGGGTTCTCTGTTGAATCCCTTTAACTGGTGCTAACCCTGTGCCAGATCCTGGGCCAGATGGGAAAGAGATGTACTCACCACTGGAGCCAAAAAGCATCACCACAACTGTCACAAGTTGCTAGCATAGGCTAGACATCTTAATTTTCCTAGTTGTGTGGCCAAGTAGCAATGCCATAGAGTGTGTGTGTGGAAGAAATGTCAGATGGGATGGAGTCCACCTGGCACATGGATGTTCCACTCCTTTGATCCCTTGCCTGGTTTTCTTTCTGCTTGGATAAAGAAGCTCCTTTAAAAAAAAAAGAAAAGAAAAGAAAAGAAAAGAAAGAAAAAGAAAAAGTCAGCCGGCAGCACTCAGGTTGTTTAACTCTCACCAGAGACGGTTTAAAAATAGGGAGACTGGAGAGGGGAAGGGGAATTTGAGGAGTGAAAAATAATCCTCAACTGGCAAGGATCTTTTGGGAGGAAAAATACAAAACTGGCATGAACCTGCAGTATTCTATTTCTTGTCTTTGTCAACACAGTTGAGTATTGAATTGGGCCTGGACATACCACCATTCTGCTGCCCCCGGTCTTCATTTCTGAGTAGCAGTGCCAGTCACTCCTGCACCCTCTGTATGTTTAGGGCAGCGGAGATGGGCCGCGTTTTGCACTAAGTAATGGATTGGGGTGTCTTTGACGTCTGAGGCCCCAGTTCCTAAGGTGGCTGTTGCTGCTTCACTTGTTTAGCTTGCTAAGGTCCAAAGCATTTTTCCTGAATTTGTTTTAATCCGAAGAAGTTTGGGAAGTAATGGAAACCTTTGGGGAAAAAAAGGGTTTATGCTGCATAAATAAAAGAGAGAATATCATCTGCTCGTCACAGATGTTGTACAGATCTCTGCATTTTTCTGTTTGAATTTTCCCTCTGAATATTTATATACACCTCTTGGGGAATGCTCGATATTGTGCTTCGTATTTTTCTCTTTTCCTTTTGCAATAATGAAACATCACCGAAACTCTTCTTCTCTAAAGACAGAGAATATTTAGCCATGTTTTTCCTAATAGAAATAGCAGCTCAGATGCATTTTTAGAATTTTAGAAAATGTTGAAAATACTTCTTGCTTTTTTCTCTATAAGGAGGAGGGTGGAGGAAATTTGTGTTATTTTTTTTTTCCCCTCAAAATAGATCCAAAAGGTATTTGAAGGACTACCTGGATACAAAAACATCCGTGTCCTGGAATTCAGGTAAAAAGATCCTGATGTGTATGTGGTGGTTGAAACTGAGCCCGTCGAAGGTGCGATGTGCTAGCACCACAGCTGGAAGAATGTCAGTGCAAGGGATTTCCAGGATGTGTTAATCAAAGAACAAGTGCTTTCATACTGGTGCCTTCATATGTACAGAAATCAAAATAGAAATACAGAAACGTATATAAATGTAGTTGGCTCTTTTCCGCTGCTGGCACCCATCAGAGAAGCTCACATGATATGTTTGCCTTCAGTTTAAGATTCTGACCTAAAATTAAAAGAGGTGTTTTCTAATTGAAAATCACCGTCTGATACTTCCTCAAAACTTTAGACGTGTCCTAGTATTAAACAAGGAAGAACATGGGAATCTTTTGGGAAAAATGTGATATATTTTCATCTCTTTGCAACTTCTTAATGGGATGGCTTAATTTGGTTGTTAATTTGGTTGGCATTTGAGGTATATAAAGATTTTTCTCCTTTCGCTCAAACCAAAGGTGGGTGAATAAATATTTGATAAATGATCTGAAAACTTTAACTTATAAATATTGCTTAAAAGAATAGTTTCCTCAAATCAGTTTGTACTTCAAAATGGCATTTTAAGTTAATTTCAGAAGAAAAGGGGGAGATTCTGCGTGTTATGTATCAAACGTGATCTGTGAGTTTTGGTATACATGAATCACAAATTATGATCGGACTTGAATGGACTGGATTTAATTTTAAGAATCCAGTCAGGCTTTTCATGGGTCAATCTAAAAAATGTTCTCTATTGGGACTTTGTAAGCTGTATTTCTTAAAATATTCCAGCCAATAAATTCGAGCCAGGATATTTCCGGGTAACAAAGCAGTTATAGCGAGGAAGGTTTTATGGTTGGAATCATATGGTGGGGCACTGTTCCAGCAACATTGTCAGAAGTACCAAAAAAGGATGGTACAGAAATCAAATTATGAAATGCCTGAAACAACGAGGCAGGAATGTCCCCCGTGCTAATTGCCCAAATGGATTGATAAACTCCACTTTGTTGTGGCCCGCTGTAGGAGAATAATTACCTGACCTGATAAGACTGATTGATAGATACGTAAGTTTTCCCTGCGTCAGCAAGGAAAACTGAATGACACTGTCTTCAGCCCTCATGGGAGCCTGGAGGCACGTTTGGCTTTTCAGTTCCTACTTTGACTTCTGGCTAGAACCACAGCAAACCGGGGTAATGACATGGGGAAACCCTGCTGAAGCTCTGCCTGGGAGGTAGCAAAACCTTCCTTCTCAGTATTTGCAGTCTAATACGTTGGAGAGCCCTCCGTTCATTTCAGAAGTGAAATAAAAGGTTGGTATTCCTGGAAAATTCCAGAGATTCTTTCTGTGCTCTGATGCGCATGAGGAAAAAATGCGTTTGTAAACTGACCTTCAGGTAGAATTAGTTAGTGAGCCTTGTTTCTCTTGGTACTGATGGCAATTTAACTGCCTTACTTGCAGTCCTGTGCAGTGGCTCTGCTCTGCTGGTTCCTTGTGACCAATAGGAAGTATTTCAGTTCAGTAAAAGCTGAACAATTGGTTATGCAGCAGATCGACTTTGCAATTTATAAACACTTCGCTGTATGGATTTTGAAATTTGTGTGCACTGTAGAATGTAAAGGCAAATTTGGTAAAGCTGAACTTTAAGGAACTGGTGACGTTGATTTAACAGGTTTTGCTGTTGTGTTTTGTTTTTGTATTCAGCTCTCCTGAGGAGGACAGGTAAAGACATTTTTATACACATTGTTATAATACAGAAGGAAAAGCGCCTTAGCTGGATGACACTGACTGTCTCGGGGATTTGTGGTTTTGGCTCCACAGCGAGATAGTTATCCAGCATAAATACTATGTGAGGGGGTTCTACCAGCAACTGCAAGTAACTCATCTGTTCTGGTTATGAATACACTTATATTGCTTATTTAAATGCTGCTTATAAGAAACTTCTTGAGGAAAACCATCCTAAACACAAGTCAGCTACTGGGCTAGCTTGTGTATAGGAGCCTCTTCTGTGAAGAAAACAAAATTGTTTAATGACGACTCAAGGTCTTTCTAATTAGCATCACAATCTTGGGTAGATATGATTATTATTAGATAAATTAAAATAAGTAAGAAAACCATAGTTATCCAGCAAAGGCAATTGGCTTAAGCTCCTTCAAGGCTGGATTTGCTGTGCATCTTAGCAGTAATTTTACAAACATTTCTTAGCAGAAGATGACATCAGTCTTGACTTGTTTTTTTGGCAGATATATGCGAGTTAAGCATCCTAAATTTTCCTCTTTCAATATTATTTGAAGAATTTCACAAACAAACAAAAAAGAACTGTGGCCTTTAAATTACTGGAAGTATTATTTTATTTTGTATATTTCTCAGTAAAGCCCTAGCCAGTGTCCACAAACAGTTGTACAGAGAATGAGCATTTTAATTTTAGAATGTTTCTGAACAAAGAAAGGTATTGAGCAAATCTGTTCACAAGCAACAGTGACTGACAGCCAACCTCTGTTACTCTGCACTTCTGCGGACTAAGATGCGTGCAGCAATTCGAAGAGGTTATGTCCGAAATACCAGATGTTATAGCCCTTTCCAGACAGATGGTGGTGTCATTGTTATTACTTAGCAATTATTAACTGCAACTGACAGCACAGTTGTGTTAAATGTAAATGTTACTTTCTGACTAGCATGCTGTATGGCATCTTTGCCGTGCCTTTTTGCTACTGCTGTCCTTTTTCATTCCCTCTACTGACACTCAGTGCTCATGATGAGCCTGCAGTGGGCTCATTTCAATAATAGGGCCAGCAGCAAAACTCCAGCAGGTTCCTGGTTTTAGTTCATGTGTTTGCTGATTGTGTCTTTGTTGTACCTGGCACTGGGGCGTTAGAGCCTTCTCTGAACAGAACCATTGCTTTGGTAATTTTACTTTTAGTCCAGCTTTGTGGAATGAAGGAAACCCATCTTTGGAGCACGTTTTCCTAGCACTTCATAGATTACTTCATTTCTTGCTGTGCCCCATGTACAGCCAAAGTATGCTCTATTTTCTAAGACTCCCTTGTGCTTATGCCCAGTGTATGGCAAATCTGGTTGCTACCAACTCTGTCATGTGGAAGAGGACATCCAGACATAGGTTGGAGAAGAGCATGGAGAAAACGGAGGAGACTTAATATGAAAAAGCTAAGCTGTACATAGATACGAAACTTTGTTAGAGAATTAATGATCAAATGAGACTAGAATAAATGCTTCTAATTATAAGGTGTATGAAATGCTATTTGAGTGTTGCTAGAGGCATTATTTCAAGCAGATGGACACTGCACAGTGACAGTGATCAGGGCTCCCGCTTGCTGCTGTATTGCTACTATACACAACCTGTCTTCCCAGGCTCCTTTCTTACCACGGATCCATTCCCATCATGGGCATGACGACCTTAAAAGCATCACTCACACCACTGCATGTTGGCGGGTCTACTGATAATACAGGCAAAAAGCCATCAGTTTGGTCTCCTGGTAGTCCTTCTGCCCTTCAGAAGTAGAAATACAGGGCTGTGACCAGGCCAGATGTTGTGTTCTGGTAACCTTTTCCATGAGAAAACACAGGTAGGCAGACACAAGTGTGAAAAGTAATATAATTAATTAATTTTACCTAGAATCCTTAAAAACAATGTATTTGTATTTTTAAAGAAAGGGTAGGGACACAGGTTTTTGGAAAAAAAATCATAGCATTTGCCATGGAAAGCCTTACGTCTCTCATGTGTGTTTTCTCTCTTTGCGAAACCCCAGTGGGGTGGAAGTGCACTATGCTGTTACTTTTGATGGAGAAGCCATCAGCAATGCCACCTGGGACCTGATTAACCTTCACTCCAACAAGGTGGAGGACAACTCCTTTATGGACATAGAGGATAATCCAACAGTTGTTTACACCATCAGCGATTTCCAAGATTATATTGCTGAAATTCTCCAGAAAAATGCCTTGCTTGAAAACACTTCCTTGATTTTAGACCCAAACTCTCTCCAACTTATTAATGGTGAGTCTTACTTACGATTCATCTGCCCTCTGAATAACTAAAAAAAATCACAAACACGATGGTGTTGCAGTTGGTTTTGCTCTAATTTTAACCAGGTCAAGTCAATAGCAGTAGCATCCCATTGTCAATCCCTTAGATTTGTCTCTTTTTTTCCTTTGACACCAAGGTTTGTGGTGTGCAGTAATATTATCAGCAATTAACAGGAAGAGAAGGGGAAATGTGTTTCACATGATGCAGTTTGCTTTCAGCACTTTAGGTTAGCAGCTCTGCCTTGGCCTTGAGCAGCACAAAAGAAATACTTGGCTTATTGTTGAATATTCAAAGGTCCTACCATAGTTGGTAGAGCAGTGCTGTCCCACTCCCCTGTTCCCATCTTTTCTCTGCACTTCTTGTGTGTAATCTGTGGGTATTTTCGAGAGAAAATCTTTCTGGCAAACTTGCTGAACAGGTCTCACAGATCTGAGATGAGGAAGGGTTTTTCAGCCTAAACAAATTGTTCTAAAACAGTTTCTTTGCACTGCTACTGCAGCATTTTGAACCTATGTACTTATATTTTCCCAGTGAAAGAAATACTACACCCTACCCAAGCAGATCCATCCTGGATTACTGAGCATCCAGGTGTGTTGGAGCGTGCGGAGTTTGATGTGAGTATGGTTCTGAGCAATGACCTTTTATTTGAGGTATGTCCTTTGCACGCATTTCGAACAGCTTAATTCAGCAAAATGGCATTAAAGCCAGCACCCAGAGCTTCTCTATCCTATTGATCATGCAGAATACAGTCAGGAAAGGCACACCATATAGTGGAAAAAAACCTCTGGTGAAATCTCTCACCTGATAATTTGTTACCTGTGCACAACGCTTTTCTGTGATCATCTTATATTACCTGGCACATTGTTGTGTTTCTGGCTGTGCAGCCGTGTCTTGTTCTTTAGGCTTCCTTTGTCTGTTTTTTTTTTTTGTTTGTTTGTTTGTTTGTTTGTTTTTCACAATGTTTAATTAGACTGTAAATTGTTCTAAAAACATAATTTGTTCCACAATCCTGCCTTTCTTTGGAAAGTGAGAAATAAACATAAGCAGTAAAGCTGCCTGTGAGAAGAGATAAAGGTAAATTTCACATGCTCCTTTTGTTACTATTTCATTTTCCCTACAAGTTCTTACTTCAGGTTTTAGATGTCCATCCCCTTGATGCCAGCAAAGGAAAAACAGAAAAAAAATAATAGCCACTGGTTTATTGTATTCCATTTTTAAAAGTGTGCATTTATCTCATGTGATTACCTCTGGAACAACCCAGGACATAGAATCAGGCTCTCATTGGACAGGAGAGTTAGTATCCCTGAACATACTTGTACCATGCAATGGGGCTTCAAGCAGAGGTGCCATGTTAGGTGCCAGCACTGCTGAGATTGAGTGAGTTTTGCTGACAGCTAGAATTTCTGAACGGTGGAACATTGTCTGGGCTTAAGAATTTATCCAGTAGGTTTCTGCTCTGTTGAGTAACACAGACGTGCCTTCCAAAAAGAAATGAGCTCAGTTCATGCCGCAAAACCCAGATCCAGCTAAGTTTGATGGTAGGTTTTTTCACAAAGCTCATTACGAGATACTGTTGTGAATAAAACCATTCTTTATTTCAGGCCAACCTCTAAAATCATTGTAGAAGCAAAATTTTCAGTGACTTCACAGAAGCCAGCGATTCCTGTTCTAATGGTCATAGGTATAATATCCTTAACTTCATGCCAGTTTTCCCAGAGTTTTAAAAATTAACCATTAGTATCTAAAAAGCAAATTCATTCATTTGCCATAAATGGTTTAATCTTGATGTGGATAAATAGGAATTTAATGTAACTTTCAGGAAGGGGCTTTCTATTTTCTAGAACTATCTAACTGGATTAAAATGTTACATATGTTTATTTTAGTAAGATAATTCTGCCATTTTCACATTCTCTTCTGTGGATACTTGGACATATACAGGCAAGAAGATTTTAGAGTAGAGATAGCTTTGCAATGTTACTCCATTTTAAATCATTTTTAGGGAATAGTATGTACAGGAAAAAATACTGGATGTTACATTTTTCTAATCATGGCCTATGAATAATAATGTTATCTCTGTCTTCAGTCAAAAATTGTGGTTATATACAAAGTATATACAAATATACTGAGTATATCCAAGAAAATAGCTGTGTACAATCTGCAATACACAGATAATTTGGGAAGTAATTTCAGATAAATTTAAGAAAATCATAAGCTGCTAAAACAGTAAAGAAGGCCAAAATGATTAGTCAGTTATTTGCAGAGATATCAAACCTTCATGGTTCAAGTAGATGCTGTTAAGTAGAACCATTACCTGTGAGAAAGAGTTTTGCTATTATTTTTTGCAGTTGATTTGGGAATGAGTTGGATTTGTATTATCGTACAGGGTCATGACATAATGTGGAACTATCATTACTTCACCATCTTATTGCTAGCAGATGGTACCAACTAATCATTAATTCCTTTCTTTGAGTTTTACAGATCTCTTAAAAATGAATAAAAATGGAAGTGTAGCTTTTGAAATCTGCATTTTCTTGTTATTTCTGTTGAGCTCTAACAGGTAGAATGCCTTAGCTTATTGAGCACAATGTGTTTCTGGCAGCAGAAAATGGAAAATCAGGGAGGGTGTTCTGTGTTTGCAGTCATCTGTCATATTTGTAAGCCTTTCAAGACATTAGCAAAAAACCAGCACTTGCCAATATGATATTAAACTTGTTAATATAATATATAGCACTGTAACAAGAATCTTTGAATAATGTTAGTTGTCATAGGAACATCTATCCACATTAAAATAAATGATGAGGTGCAATTCCTGGCAACTAAATGCTCACATAAAAAATGTATTGAGAAGCTATTGCTGGTAGTCCTTTTTCATTCTTTATGGAATTTATATGTGTAATTTATATGTGTAATTCTAATCTTGCACAGTAACTTTTCTCACAGGTTTATTTATAATAGCCAACTTTGCCAAAAAAGATAATTGCTGGAGCACATGTCTGTATGGTATATATACTTCTCAACTGATTGTTACCATATACATTCAGAAATATGAGAAGACTGTGGTGATAGAACAACCAGCTATAAAAAAACATGGTCAATTCAGGTAGACAAATAGTCAGGTGAAAATAACTTCGTTGTTTCTAAAATGTTCACATACAGTTTGAATGAAGTTGAAAATTTAATTCACTCATGTTTCTACCAGGAGTAAAATTTCAATCTGAAAAGTATTTGGGGTTTTCCTATTATTCATTCTAAAATAAAAGAGAGGGATTTGAAAGGAACAGTGAGCTACAGAATGATTAAATCAATAGTTTCTTTGAACTGTAATACGTACTACTGAAGCCTTTGTCTGGCGTCTGCTTTACATGTACTAGCCACCATCAGCAATTAGTTCTTAGTAAATTAATCCTTCTTTCTTCACTTGACAGTTTTTCATACCTCAAGGCTTTTTTTCCCCATTTCTGACTGTTGCACAGCATTGATAGCTGGACAGGTAGCCGTGCAAAGCGCTAATCCCTGAGTTGTAGGCAGTGAGCTTGCTTTTGTAGTCTTGACCAAGTAACTTAATCTCTTCACTGATATTCTGCAATATCATTACCTCATGAGACACTGTGGGAGTAGATTAATATTCAAAGATAAAACGTGTTTGGTATTCTAGCTGTAAACCAAATAGTGACTGGAGCATGGCACATAAGTACATAGTGTGCAGATTGGAGGCTTAAAAAGACATTCTTTTTTCACAGTACATATAAGTTGCAAATTTCATTGCGTATACTCTTTGTTCATCATTACTGCTGAACAAAAAGTTTTCTTTCCATAGAAGTATTTCAGCTTTGAGACTGAAGTTGTTCTACGTTCTAAGTTACATTATGGTTATAGTTCCCCTCTCAGGTTCACATACCAAAACATAAATGACCACCAACCATACATACCTATGTGCATTTGAGTTCAGTTTCTGAACTGTTTTTATGTATGATGATAACTATAATGTTATAATTACTGCATTGATTATGGAGCTGATGAATAATAGCTGCTACGACCTCTTCATGCCTTAGGAAGGAAGGCAGTATTCTGTGTGCTTATTTTCCATTTAATTAGAAATAGTTCGGTTTTTCAGTAAGGAAAAGGAAAGGACATGGTTTGGGTATTGAGGGTAAGTCTCTTAATACGCTAACTGAAGCTGCACTCCAAAGAACTGGAACGGCTGTTTTCCTTTAGAAGTGGCCATGACTGGACACAAAATGCATGTCGCAAGGACGTGCATTGTACGTGTATGTTGAACATTATTAGCACAGGGTACGTTTGCCAATCCTTCCAGCTGAGCCCCTGCTGTTGCTATTGTTACTTCCTCACAGAGGCAATACTACCAGATTTTGCTTGTTTTGCTGCTGGTTAACACCTTTGATATGTTCAGCCCAACGTGGACAGACCGTACTGCCCCTATAATAATGGTTGTGGTTTTGTTTCAGGATAACACCTTTTTAGCTGAACGGCCTTCAGCAGATGAATCAACGGTCAGCAATACCTTGCCCTTTGATTCCACCAAACCAGATTCCACTTCAGATAGTGAAGAGTCCAATGACAATGAAATCCACCGAAGACCAGCAAATCAGGACTCTGAGGCCAGCTGGACACCTGATGCTCCACTTTCCTCCGAAGTTGATGTCACCTCTTCGCCTGATGAGCTGAATTTAGAAGATGGGAATCAGACTCCTCCTTTGGTCACTGCACCAGCATTAGAGCGTGATTCTGTGGACTCCCTGGAATGGCTGTCAGCCCCTGATTCTTCAGATGGTAAGTTCATGCCATTGACTGAAGTGTAAATTTGGACACGAGTGTCCTGTGACGCTCACCAAAGGGGTAGTTTACCAAAATGGCTTTTCAGAAAGGTCTACAAATTGGATATATTACTCTGATTGTTTTTACCTTCTCATTTTGATCAAATGCCTGGTAACAGGTGATAATGCCTGTTTGCCTCTCCAGGAAATTACATGCACGATGCTTCTTTAATTGCACAGAAATATTTTCATATAGGGCATGATACCATGCAGACATAATTGAAGCAGACTAATTAGCCTAAGGACATACTACACATTAATTGCTTTACTGCATACTCTGCAGCCCTGATTTGGCTCATAGAATATCATAAGGAAAAGTGGAGAGGTTACCAGGGGTCCTTCCAACTTCAGCATACAAAGGTCAGTATACATCACAGGAAACATGCTGAATGCAGATCCACAGCCAACAAAATGAACTGCATTTGACTCTTTTTTGGTATAAACAAAAACTGAGTGGAAACTCATTTATATTTTTAAATATAAAAAATATAAAAATATAAAATATAAACTCAATTATATTTTTAGGGTTTGAAGATACTGGGCTATCAGAAGACTTTATTCTGCCTTCGAGTCCCCCTTCTCACCTCGTGCCTGAAGAACCTCCATCTACAGATGATTACGTAGTTCCCCTGTCTCCTGCATCAACAGTGGCCTCCTCGTCAGTCACGGAGACTGATACTAAAGCAACAGCCTCTGCTGAGGTGGAAAAAGTAACTCAGGGTAGTCCTGCAGACAGTAACAATGCAGACTCTGTGTTGCATAATTCTGTGGAAGAAAATCCTTTTCCCTCAGAACTACACCCTGTAGAAGCTGAAACTGATATTTATCTCGGAGATAGAATTACATATGAAGATGGGTCTGGTTCAGCTTTTGATGGTTCAGGAAAAGAAACGGAATCAAGTATTTGGCCTTGGGAAGAAGCAACGCTGGAACCTGTTTTCTACCCTGGTCCTGATAGCTGGCTTGATGATGATAATGAGTCTTTGTTAATCAGAACTGAGGATATTCCTGAAGGCCTGATCTTAGATTATATTCTTAACTCTCAGAAGAAATTAGATGATGATCCTTCCAAAGATGAAAATGAAGGTATGGCTGACATAGAAGAAAATTTTCTTGATGAATCTGAAATATTTGTCTTTCCTGAGACTACAACTCAGCACGTATCTCTGCTTCAGACAGAGGAGCCACTACCTGTGGAGCCATCTACACAGACAGAAGCATCGAGCACATACGATTCTTCTTTTGTTAAACCAGTCCTCATTCTGGAGCCATCAGAGGACTATTCCTTTGTAGACATGCCAACTGGAGAAGCCCCTGTCTCAACACACAACACAGATGTGTCTGTTGAAGATGATAGTCTCCTTACACCTGCAGTACCCCTCAGTATGGACAATAGTCCTACATCTACTGCAGCACTCAGTACGGACAGTAGTCTTACATCTACAGTAACCCTCAGTGTGGACAATAGTCTTATGCCTACAGTAACCCTCAGTACAGACAATAGTCTCACATCTACCGTAAGCCTCAGTGTGGAGCAACCTGAAGAGTCCAGTGTAGGTCAGGAGATCGTTTCTGAGGCAGTTGAACACCAGCATGAAGGCAGGCCAACATCAGAAGAACTGTTCACAGCAGGGCAGTCAGATCTGACTGAATCTGCTACGATAGGCTACTTGGACACAAGCTAGTTCAGAAAGTATTCTGACTGCAGATCCTTTTGTGGTGAACACTGATACTTCCACAGAAGAGCAGCAAGCCCTGGACACATCTTTGGCAGGCCAAAACACTGGCTCGGCAATAAAGAAACCAGCTGATGTTTGGCCTACTGACAGAGTGCTAGAAAATATATTAGATCAGACAGTAAAATCAGCAACACCAACTGTAGTTGAAGCTGCAACTACGGTTCCTTCTGTAACAGAGCAGGCCACTGTTCTAGAGGGTGTTGCTGGACAGGGTGGTACAGACCACAGCACGCTTGTTTCCACGAGCATCAGCACTGTTAGGAACTCCTACGTAACTGTGAGCGTCACAGCAAACATCGCCGAGCTTCCATCCAATCTCCCACCAATGGGATCCACAGCGTCACCATCGGTGGTTACCTCAGCAAAGGTGGGAGATGAAACAGCCAGGGTCCTGGATGTGTCAGTGGGGCTGGATCACGTCAGCGTTGTCAGCTTTTCTCCTGAGCCGAGTGAGGAGGGAAGGAGCCTGACTGACAGTCACGTGGAGCTGACCACCCGTGCCCAATCCACAGAGATGGCCAGCGTGGCGTGGGCCACGCGTGAGAACCACAACAGCACTCCTATCCCATCACGAGCTCTGGTCGTGTTTTTCAGTCTTCGGGTTACCAACATGATGTTTTCAGAGGACCTGTTCAACAAAAATTCCCCTGAATATAAAGCATTGGAGCAACGATTCTTGGAACTGGTAAGAAGCACTTCTCTGCTAAATATCCATTGCCAGGTAGAAATTGTTGGCTCAGTCCCAGTTGGTATGCTCTGTTTTGCAGAGACAAACACGAGACAGGTGTGTCCAGATATTATGCATGTCCTTCTATGGGAAAATGCTGTCTGGGAACATGGGGGAGAGGGGAGGTTTTTGTTTTGTTTTTATTCAGTCACAATTCTGTCTCTCCAAAGCTCATTATCTTAACTGTGATACGTGCCAGATGCTCTGCTGGTGTCAGTAGATGCAGCAGGGTAGCTGAAGCCAGTACAGCATTCCATTCAATTGCTTCTGGAGTGCTCTGGATTTAGTCTATGGGGAGAGAGAAGTAAATAAATTGGGCCTGTCAGGAGATAACCTTTCTGCAACATATTCAACCCACCCTAATGAAGAGGCAGTTTGGCTGATCTCTTAAAAAGCCAATAGCTAGCTAAGCTTCATAGGAGTAATACAGCAACAATTACCAAACTCTAACCTGGCAGTTCCCATCTCCTGACCGAAATCAGTATTTTGCTATGGGAGATGGAGGGAGTAAAGAAGAAAGACAGAAGGGGAAGGGGCTCGACAGAAATGTCCTTTGAAATGACAAGTATGCCTGGTGCTTAGAGCAAGGGGAGAGCACCGTGTGTGTCACAAGAACTGTGCATATAAATTGTAGACTAAGAAACCATCTGCAAATTGATATTTGGGAAAAGTTTTAATACCCTTACTGTGGGATTTGGGTAAACCGCTTCAGATCCCCGCTGCCTGATGCAATACCAGTGCAACTGGCTTGAGCAGAGACTTGAAGTCTCAGCTTTTCTGTCCTTGTCCCTGTGCTGCAGCTGGTGCCGTACCTTCAGTCAAACCTAACAGGCTTCCAGAATCTGGAGATCCTGAACTTCAGAAATGGCAGCATTGTGGTGAACAGTCGAATGAAATTCGCCAAACCCGTGCCTCGGAATGTCACCAATGCTGTGTACATGATCCTGGAAGACTTCTGCAACACTGCGTATCACACCATGAACCTGGCCATCGATAAATATTCCCTGGATGTGGAATCAGGTAAGGATGGCAGAAAAATGCAGTTTTGGGGCAAGGGATTTAGAGCTACTTTTGCTTTAAGAACTTGCTTAGGATTCTGGCAGCTCAGAGATCGCCCACTGGAGTTTAGGACAGACTTTCACAGAGTTGAAGTACACAACCAGAAGTCTGTTATGGGACTGAAGACATGAAAAGCAAAATGGGACACGGACTGAGCAAACTGTATGAGGGCCTGTATAGAAATACAGGAACAAAACTTGCTTATGTAATTGCCACTGTGCTTTTACCAAGGAGTTGGAGGAAGATTGGTCAGCAAGGGCAGTGGTGTCCTTCTCTCTTGAGCTTATCTTCATGTATGGTTTGGAGTTGCTCCATGGGTCTATTCCCACTGCTGGCAGCCCGTTTAGCTGTGAGGAGTCTGCAGTGATACTTTCTGCTGCCTTATTCTTGTGGTTAGGGCTTGATTGCAGTAAAACATTACTGGCCCTCTTAATTTAGTCTTCTGATACGGGGAAGTTTCTTTGCTGCCCAAGTTAGCCAGTAGTTTACCATATAAGCAGCCTGGAAATATTTCCTGTTTTAAAGTTAAGGAAAATAACAGTGCTGAGCTGATGGCAAGTGGTAGCTGTCCTTCTGAGGTAGCTCTGTTATGAAGATGGTCATTTTTAGCATGAAAAATCTTCTGATACTGATTGTGTGACTGTATGCCAGCCCTCTCAAGCTTGATATGCCACAAATGCTACAAGCTTGTGTTCCTTGCAGACAAAAGCAAATCACCTCACAGTGGGTGCTGTGTCCCAAGTCCCCTTGCCCTTCCCTGTGTGTCGCCTAGGTTTTCTGTAACAAGAAATACTGGAGATCAACTGTGTTTTATTCATTTGCAAAATACAGTTCCAGCAGACAGAGAACATCTGAGGTACTGCCTGTTCCAGTAAGAAAAAGAACATTTTACGCTTGCTTTTTCAATTGGCTTGCTGGGTGGTCTTAGCCGTACCATTCACATGCGCTGCGCAGACAGGAACACTTCGTAGCGCTTGTTCACCTTAGCAGAACCCTTTGAGACTTGGGAAAGACGCACGCTGGGTTTCTGCAGATTATTTTAACCAGGTCATTAGAGAAAATGGCAATGGTGCTTTGCCTCAGTTAACTCTCTCATCGACTATTAACGTTTTCTGCTTTGTGTGTTCTCAGGTGAGCAAGCAGATCCCTGCAAGTTCCAGGCCTGCAATGAGTTCTCCGAGTGCTTGGTGAATCGCTGGAGTGGGGAGGCTGAGTGTGTCTGCAATCCCGGCTACCTGAGCATCGATGGGCTGCCGTGCAACAGCATCTGTGATCTGCAGCCCAACTTCTGCCTGAACGATGGCAAGTGCGACATCAGCCCCGGGCAAGGCGCCATATGCAGGTAGGTCATCCTGTTCAACACATGGCGAAGCCATGCTGCCTCCTCTGTCCTAGCCTTCCATGAGAGTTGTGCAAAATTCCCCAGGGTAACGCATAACAGGTGAGATGCCAATGGTTATCGGTCATGTAATGCTGCTGAAGGGTTAGTTTGCTTATGTAAAGTTTGGAAATGAGACAGTAACAAATGTGTTTAGTAGAACAGAAATGCCAGTCCGCAAAACTATCTAGGGAAAATAATAGCAATGAATGTATTCAGTTGTTAAAATCACCTTCATTGACCTTTTGAGACAGAACTTCTCTCTGGCGGTTTCCTTAAGTAGCAAAGTGTTAGATAATGTCATAAAGCATGTATGAGTTGATTCTGTTGCAAAAATTCAGATTTGAAAAGCATCCTTATATGTATTAAAAATGGTGCTTTTAATTAAGAAAAACATCATAAAAGTAAAGCATTGGCAACCTGAGAAAAAACATGTGTGGTTTCAAGACGCAGGCCCCCTGGTTTAAATTTTGTGATTTTTAAGATACAGATGCATGTGACTGGGATGCCTATATTTTACAGGTAGGTGAAATGATTCTACAAGACACAGATAAATTGATGTGCACTCCAATACTGCACTTATTTTTTTTCCCTTTCCAGCAATGTAACCGTCTATTTTTAGAAACTACGTACAGCCCTCCACAAAAGCTAGGAAAATAACTACAGAAAAGGAAGGATAGCTACTACTGGTTATTGTTTATTAGTTCAGGTCCTTTTTTTAAAAACTTACTTCTAACTTTTCAAGTCAATCTTACAGTCCTGGCTTCTAACAGGAAAACAATATAATGTTTTTTAATGCTATGAGGCTGGATACTTTCACAGATACAGTATAAATTTTATCTTATTTATATAATACATGAATAAGAAACAAGTATCTGAGCTCAAGCATGCTCTGGCCAGTATTTTTGAAAAATATTTTGAAAAATATTTGTAAAGTATTTTTTTTTGAAAAAAGCAGTTTGAAGAAATTCAAATACTGGTTACTAATTTAATAAACTCTCGTAGTAAATTAAGTCTTTTGACATAAATATCTAATGTGTAGTATTAATAAGGCTCAGTACTGTGAGTGCTTGTAATACCTTGCAATTCCTTGATTTTTTTTTATAGTAAAAAGGCCCCAACACCTATAATGCGGCTGTATTATTTGTACTGGTATGTTTAAAGATGATATTAGTTACAGCGGTCATATTCAGTACCATGGCAAGGCAGAAATAATAATCGCTGATTAAGGGAGCAGCTGCAAAGATACACTTTTAGGCACCCCATCTTTCTAGTAATTTATTTTGTGTCTTTAATCATTGTGGAGTTTACATACCATAAACATGCTGTTCATTAACACGCCTTCATGTGTATTTGCATTACAATATCATTAAGACTACATTTACAGTGTTTACTACATCGTGTGCAAGGCTCTGTCACTGCCTAACTTTTTACTTGGTCTAAACACCTTACAGTTTTAACATGTTGCAGGATACTCTAAATAGCAAAAACCACAGGCTTTTTGCCATTACTAATGTTTTGTCCTTTTATTATTTTTTCTATCTCTTTTCACTAAACTCCTCAATAACAAAAGAGGCTGTTCACAATAATAATAAAATGTTAGTGCTTAAGCATATAAATATATTTTTAAGATAACTAAGGCACTGTCATAAGAAGAAATGAAATACATCTGCATTAACTTAAGTCATAGTTTTTGGCTGGTGTTTGAATTCCCAGTGTTTCCTTTTTGCAGGTGTCGTGTAGGAGAGAACTGGTGGTACAGAGGGGAGCACTGTGAGGAATACGTGTCTGAGCCCCTGGTTGTGGGTATTGCCATTGCTTCTGTGGCAGGGTTCCTTCTTGTGGCATCTGCTGTCATCTTCTTCTTGGCCAGGACCCTTCGAGACCAATACACGAAGAGCGACACTGAGGACTCTCAGGGGTAAGTGACGCCACCTAATATTTTAAAGAACATCTGTCACTAGGAGGATAGTAATTCTGTCGTAAGTCTTAGCAGGTCATTGACAAGCGACAGGCTGCATGTATACGCACCTCCCAGTGCCAGGCTGCAGAGCTCACGGTTTGTTTGTCGCTCCCCCAGGCAGGGTGACAGCCTCTCGTCCATTGAGAATGCCGTTAAGTACAACCCCATGTACGAAAGCGATACGACTGGCTACAGCCACTACTACCGCAGGTACCCTCAGCTAACATCCTACAGTTCCACCAGCGCAGACACGTCCACCGACTACAGCAGTGAAGAGATAAGGCACATTTATGAAAACAGTGAGCTTACAAAGGAGGTAAGTGACATGGCTTTTATACTGGCAGAGATGTACAATAGCTAAGTAAGTCACAACTATGGCTGCTGCAACTACATCGGAGGAGAGAGAAAGGCCTTCTTGACCTGCTTGCTATTAAGCGTATGGAAAGGAATGGGTGTGCTTGGAGGAGTAATGAATTTCACATGATAACAGAGCTGACTGCCTAAGTAGCTGCATGAGGACTGGAGTGGTTTGCTTTAGTGCTAGACATAGTCTTTAGCTTTTAATGCCAACTACCACATGTAAGACAGTTGCAGTGAGATGGTGAAAATCCAGAGCCTCCAGGCCTTTAATACAGAGGTTTTGAAGTTTAGATCTTTCTGACCTGTGAGATGGATCATATTGTTCTCCTTCCTTGTTGTGTACATGGTATCCAGCGTTCACTCTAGCAGGCTGAGGAGAAGGGATTTACATCCACGAGCTAACCGCAAATCCTTAAGCGATGGTGAGAGGTGTGAATCCAGCTTGGGTGTAGGGAAAAGTATCTGTGAGAGAGAAATGGTTTTGGTAAAGCCTTTTAAATGCCACATTCCCTCCAAGCCCTGGTTTTGATTTAACAGCTAAGTACTACTGGCCTCCAAAAAATGAAGTGCTTCGCTTTTAAAAATAGCATAAAGAATTTTAGTTCTGGGCTGCCCCATTTCGAGATCTTATTGAAATAGCAAAGCATATGAGTTTCATTTTCCAAGAAAAAGAATTCAGCTATTTCAGGAGTATTCTAATTTCTGTTATGTACCTAAATTTATCTTCCTTGTATTCTAGGAAATTCAGGACAGAATTCGAATTATAGAGCTCTACGCTAAAGACCGTCAGTTTGCAGAGTTCGTTAGGCAGCATCAAATGTGAGTAAAATATCTTGTCTGGCTAATTCCTTTAATGTTTTCTCATGAAGCCTTCACTACATCGCTATATTCTTCGTATGAAGGGTCTAGAAATGCTAGGGCACTAGAAGTTAAGATTTCAGCATTATTGCTGAAGAGGTTTGACCCTTCTAGAGCACTTAAAATAATCACCGTCAAAAGTAGGTATCCCCAGCAGCTACGTTCAAAGTACTGAAGAATTCCAAAGTTAATGGGTGTCAGAGGAGCGCTGACGGACATCAATTAGGCCCTTCAAGTACAAATAGAACCTTCTTACCTCTTTTTAGCATCGTTAATATTACCTGGTGTTAAATTTAAATAAAAATTTTAAAAGCATACTAATTGATCTTCCATGCTCAAGACTTGGCAGCTAACCAAAAACTAGCAGGCCTACTAGCACAATACTGTCTGATATTGCGGAGACGTTATCAGAATAAAAAGCTTACAGTTCCAAACAGTTAGTCAAGCTGAGCTGTGTGCTTTGATGCAAGTTAAGCATGGAAAAGGCTATTGCAGAATTGAACTGGTTTCTCACTGTAGCAAACAGCAAATTACAGATAGCTCTGTTAGTTTGAAAGATACTGCAGTACAATTCCTTGGGATCAGATGAAAATTAACTGCAGTAGCAAAACCCTTGTGTTCCAAGATCACCAACTCCACTTCTTTTAATTGAAAATAACTGCAGTTCACATTTTTCCATGTCAGTTGTTCATTTTTTCATCTTGAGACAGATCAGCTTCTAAATTTTCCACAGCTGGAAAATAGAAAGGGCTGCCTCACATGAGCCTTGAATCCAAAGTTTGAAAGAGACTAACTTAATCATTGCTTCTCTGTTTTTCATTTCAGGAAGCTGCTTTAAGAAAAAAAAAAAAAGGAATCAGTAGAAAGCATGTGGGAGATAAAGACTACCTTGTTGCCATAGCAATGGGCTCAGATGTAACTGCAAAGTTACTTATAGTCTTAACATTGCATGGATGGATACAGATGTTTTCTAAATGACTGGCTGAAATGTACAGATGTCTGTTTATCTCAATTACCTCCGGCTTTTCTGCGTAAAGTGACATTTTAAAGAGGTGATCCGAAGTGGCAGAGGTTATGAAAGTTCATTTTCTTTAACTCTGAAATGGACAATGTGAGTTTGTATACCAATGCAAAACAAACAAACAAAAACAAAACAAAACAAAAAAAACAACAAACATACAAAAAAAAAGAGAAGATACATGCACAAACTAAAAATAAAATGCACCCTTACAATTCCTGTCTGGCATTTATCCCCTTCACTGGAGCCTACTGTAGCAATGGTACAGGTATAAAGCAGTAGTGGGAAGAGCTCTTTAGTTTGCACATGAATGGTTTGTAGGAGAGAACCGTGATGATAAAATGGTGTCAGCATTATTGTAAAGCATTCCTGTTATAAATACAACCCTAACCTCACTGCAGAGGCTGTTATTTTCTATGGCTGCCTGCTTTAACTTTTGTCAGCTGGCATTAGCAAAACAGAACCCAGTACTGGAAGGCTCTCCCCAAACACTAAGCATCACCGCTGACGTTCAGTCACCACATCTGGTGCCTGAGCAAGGCAGAGCTGTAATTCTGCAGCATCGTGTTGTTAAGTCGAGATAGTTGGCTCTCCAGCTGCTCCTGACAGAGACACAAGCTGGGGCACAAAAGGGCTTCCATTATAACAATATTCTGTAAAGGTTAAGTGACTAACATAGAATTTTGTTGTACATAGACAATTTGTTGTTAATATGAGTTGTTTATCTGTTATTTATTTCCCTGACAGCTTATTTTCAGAGTGCACTTAATTGTTGAAATAGGAAGATTAATAGTTTAACGACGAAATGCTAGTGGCATTGGTGCCCATCTTTTTAAAAATTGTATTTAGTGTTTACTCCACGTTGAATTCAGCCAACTAATAGTTAAATTTTCTTTACTGAACTGGGCAATAGCCTGCGGTGGGCTGTGTTTCAAAATCAGGCTGTGGTATTTAAATGGATGCATATTTGGTAGATGGCAATTTTTTTTATTGGGAAAAACAAACAAGCAAAAAACCCCAGCTCTGGTAATCTCAGCTTCATGGCAGTCAGGGTAGAATTTCTCCAGCAGGAGCAGCCAGCCTCAAACATTTAAAAATAGCTGAACCGAGAGGGGTTGCGTGTCCTGAGGTACAGAAACTGAATTTTATCTTGAAGTTAAGACAAGAGTTTTGACTGCATGTTAAGGTATGTGGGACCTCTGCTCAGTCACCAAATCTGTTGTTAAGGCACTAACATTGCAGTCAGGATTAAGGCACAAAGAGTCTCAAATCAGCCTCTACCTACAAAGAAGGCCAAGGTAACTGTTATCTTTACCAAGATAATTATTTGTAGTTCTCAGCCCATGTGTGCCAACAGCCAAATGATACTTATTAAAATTCAACAATAGTGAGACTTACTTACTTGTCTATAGGCCGCATATCTAAACCAGTAAAGATTTCAGTGTGATTCCTCTTCCTCTTCTGGAGAGCCTCGCTGGATCATTTGCATGGTGTCTTCTTGCCTTGAGTAGCAGGCATGGTCATCAGAGCCATGAATCTGTCAAACAAATGCGTACATAAATCACTGTAAGTCCAAATAACACCAGACAGCTGAAAGCAGTACAGTGCAGCTTCATGTTGTTGGGATGTGATGTTATCAGGCAGAGCTTACCTTGTGCTGTGTGACCCTGGGCTCTTAGAGCAGCGCAGCGCTGGTCCGGACTTCGTAAGGCACAGCCCCACTCTTGCAGGGACATGGGTGAGCCGTCCTGGGACACTGAGGCCTCGTGGTCACCACCACTGCACAGCGCGGGGAGATGCCAGGCTTGGGGTTCGCTTCTGTGCAGCTGGGCTGTCAGTCCCGGGGAGGTTCTGCACTGCCTCTGCTAAGCTGGGTACGGCAGCTGGGACCAGGCACCTGCTACAAGGTATTCAGGTATTTGCTGGGCACAAGCTGAGGAGATTATCGGTTATGCTGAGCACAAGGCATTTTGTTGTATATACAGTGTATTGTTCCTTTTTGTGTGTATACATATAAACATAATGCTATCTTATTTTCACTACAATAAAAATACAATTTCCAAAATATTTTTTTCCTAGAAAATTCACGTAGAGACTATTTGATTTGAAGAAATCTATCTTAGGCACAGACACATGAATTTAGTATCAGAAACGTTTTTTTTTGTTTGTTTTTTTTAATGAATTGGGTTGAGCTGTTGAACTCATTTTTAGCACGTGCCAAGTGTAGGTCTTTATCACTTGCATGGTTATATCCTGAAAATTCATGCTGGAAAGCATGCAACTGAGTGCTTTGATTTCTATTAATGCTCTTTGCCCATTTTGAGGCTCTAATCAAAGAATCAAAATGTGCTGTTACTTTGGTGATCTTGATGACTTAAAAAACCTGACCCCTCCTCCAAATGGCTTCACATAAACTTAGAACATGGCAAGAAGGACTTACTGAAAAACCTCTAAATATCCTAATAAAAATCAGAACAGGCTCTCGTATATACATCTACCAGTACTTGTTAATAGTCAAGATGCAGTTTTTCACTTGCTTCAAGTAAAAAGCACAGCTTTGAATGATGGATTAATTTGATAACACCTACAAAAGCAGTTACTGTTTGCTGAACACTGACAGGTCTAATTGCTTGCCACCCCCAGGCTTGAAAAAGATGAAAATGAGGCCCTGAAAGACACTGTCAGCTGCCCCTTTAACAGAGACTCTCAGACACATAGCAACAGATTTTGGACCACACTGCTCTGTACTGCAAAAACCACTGGGTACAATTCAGCCTTTAACAATTTAGACTTTAACTCACGTTCCTGGTCAGAGCTGCTGGAATCAGTCCTTGATATAAGGCAGCAGAGGGAGCATGGGACAGCCTCTTCCACATGGGGTCTGTGGACAGCAGGGATGCCACGGTGCTACAGCTCCAGAGCAGGGACAGATACCGCATCCTGCAAAAACGGTCAGCAATGCCAATTTGTATCCGTAAGCACTCTAGGACAGACCCAAACTGACTTTGCACAGCATATGAAATCCAACAGAGCATTATTGCCATTTAAACATTAATAGTTACGCCCAGCAGTTTCATGGTACTTTTTCTACTCCAAATGTCCTATAACCCCAGCAGCATTGCTCTCTTATCTTTTCACTACTTGATGCTGGTTGAGAACAGAAGCCTTATTATGTTCTACGTAATATCCATGTATTTGCTTTGGTTTCTCAAATGAAAAAAAAAATAAAAATAAATCAACAAATCCAAAGCTACTTCCTGGGCCAGGAAAGGATTTTTTTTTTTTCATCTGTCAGCCCAAGCTGGGAAATTTTGTTTTGCCACATTCAACACTAGTTGGCTCCCCTGCTCCAGATTATTAATGGCCCCAGGAATTTTAGTTCAGTTCCTGTCCTCTTAGACTCCCCCCTGCTGCGCCTCACCCTCCTTGCTGGTTCACCCATGACACTTTGCAGGTGGAAACACCTTCAGCAGGCAGGCAGCTCTGGCTGGAGAATGCCAGCAGGCTGCAGGACTCAAAGTAACAGCTCACCTGAGGTGCTACGGTTGTTTAGGAGACAGCTCTAGAGCAGTTCAAAAGGTGTGCTCTTCGTTGAGATCTGTCTTCGTGTTGCATTGAAAACACAGGAAAACCCTCTTTCAGAATGAAAAATGCCCACAGTAGTGGAATTTTGTTGTACACACGCCAATTGATTTTTTAAATCAATTCTACTGTTAGCACATCTAATGACTATTTTAACGTATTTATTAAAGATAAAAGTTGCAGTCAGCTACAGTTAAAGCCTTCCCCTTTTTTTTTCTTTTTTCGGGAGATCCCCTCACCAGGTCTCATTTACACAACCCAAACAACAAATACAAAATACAATCTGTCTTGAATCATAGAAGGCTGAAATGTTAGCCAAAAGTCTTATATTAAACACAAATCAGAGTTAGTGTTAACTGCAGTTGTGATTGCATCTCCACAGCTGATTACCAGATGGGGAAACTATGCCTTTCTGGAAGGGCTGACCTAGTTTGAACAAAACTGAAAGCAGCAACAACAATGGATACGGCCATACATCAAGACTTTATGTGGGCATGTGACTGGTTGAAAGAGGGCAAGAGAAGGAGCAGTCTCTTAGTAGAGAGTATACAAATAGTCCCCAGACTGAAAGACCTCCACCCACTCTGGGGAGAGAGCTCGAAGGGAATTTACTCACCTCCACCTAAAAGAGGATTATGCAGTGATTAAGTGATCTCACATACCAGAGAAGAAGGGGAATGCAAAACACTTCAAGTAGCAGCGCAGGGTTCCAGTCTCCTAGCCTGAGATACAGGTAACTGCTGGCTGTGCTTTGCCCTTCACAGTTCCAGTCATCTGCTTGGTTAGGGAGCGGCTGCTGTTCCCTTCCTAATCTCCAGAGTGGAGTATTAGAGGTCTTTGATCTGCAAAAATACATAATGCACAATGTGTGTTGTTTCTTAAAGTTCTGGTTAAAACCAACAAAACCACCACCGCCACCCCACCTTCCCACAACTACTTTTTTAGGGTTTGCTTTCCATCAGCTCCTCTTAAGCATGGATGGAAACCCACAACCAGCCCTGGTAGCAATGCAGCGTGGTGCTAGAGAGCTCCTCTCTCCCCACCACACCAGCATCTGTAATTTCAGCTCATGCTTGCCCACGTTACAGACAGCAAACCAACAACCCAGCCCACAGTGAAATACCTTCCCAGGGCTTGCAGTGAATGCGACTGTGAGCCTCACACATGCAGAGACTGACTTTTCAGAAGAGCCCTATCTCCTGCGTTAAGCACACAGCTCCTGATGGGAGCTGTCATGGCTAATGCCAACACCGAATACACTGAGCTGACTGAAGGCAGAATCAGGGGACACATGACTTTGAGCAGGCTGATGTTCAGTGGTTTGGGGCCATCTCTTAAGACACCAGATGACTTCACTGACTTTTTAGAAAGGCGAACCACAGAAGAGCATTGCACTTACCTGCCAAGAAAAATGAAGTTCGTGGTAAGGCATTCGAAGTAGAGAACCAGTCCACAGTTTTCAGGCAGCACAAACCAGTCTCCAAAAAGGGATGGTTTGGCTTGGAAAGAAGGAAGAAAGAAGGGTTAGGTGCTATGCAGTAAATTAAGGTTATTATTTTAACTTGTTTTCTATACATGAAGAAAAGAATCATCCCATAATTGCTATAGTTTGATACCCATTCCAGTCAATAAGCTGCTCCTGGCTACGTATACGTAATATTGATTTGCAGAGGGGAGGGAAGAAACCTGTGCAGCCTGCAGCTGCCACATCCAGCGATAAGCAGGAAGGAAGGATGAACCACCAAACGTGCATCTGGCAAAGGAGCTTAACTGGACAAGGCCAAAATTTTACGTCTGAACTATCGGTGAGGGGCATGCACAACTGAGTACAGCAGAAGTTCTGCAGTTTCACTGCTCAGCACCTATTTAAGAACTGTCTCGTATCAAGTGCCCTCAGCAGTCTGCTAACAGACTTGTAAGCCATCAGCTGTTCCTCTCCAGATGCAGCATTGCAAACAGTGTTCCACGTCATGATCTAAAAACCTGATGAGCTATGCTGACCGGTATGTTCCATAAACATATAACAAAACTTGCCGTTGTTGAGTTATTTGTGTGCAAAGAGCAGATGATTTTATAAAATGAAAAACTTGAGCTGGCAGATCATGGGGAAGGGGGAAAACACCCACAAGAAAACACACAAAAGAATAGAAGAGATTCATTCCTGTGATATAGGAAGCCAGAGATGTGAATTGTCCAACCCCACTCAGCCTCCGTATGAATCTCTCATGAACGTTTTTCAAAACAGCTCCAGTCTCTAGAAGGATGTTGTCCACAGGGTTGCAAACAGCCCTCATTCTGCTCTGGGAAATGGGAACCCTCAAATCTAGCCAGTCTAAGACCAGTCAGCAAATGGAGGACACATTTGAGGACCAAATTTGAAAACCAAGAAGTATTTATCCAGTTTTAAATGTCAGACCACACTAGAAAACTACATGCAATTCATTCTGAAAAACAGAGTTGATACAGCAAAATACAATTACCTGCTCGGATGGGATTCTCTAAGACCAACTGTCTCACACAGCTGGAGTTATTTGCTCGTTTCAGGACTTCTGCTGCCTACACAGCACTTGCTTCAACACCTTGCTGTTGAGAGGTTTCTTCCCCCTAGTTAGTGGGAAAAAATGGCACCGGACTTCAGCTTGGAGAGGCCTGATCTAGAACTTGGTTCTAATGAAAGAAGTGCTCAACCCAGCCCACTTGCAACAGTGGTACTTACTGCTCTACATCTGTGTCCACTGGACCTTGCTTCAGGATGCTTCTGAGAGGGCGGGAGGAAGGGACGGAAGAATGGAAGAAAACCAGACAGAAGACGAAGCTTGGCTACATCTGGGTCAGCAACTGCAAATCAGAAACAAAAGCTTAAGTGAAACTGCAGCCTTAGGCACACTACAGCAGAAAGCAAAACAGCCCTGCTCACTCCCCTGTCCCCCAAATCCACCCCTGCTTTCTTTTAAAGACAATTTCTAGGGATAGGAGAAATGCCAGATCTGTTTTCACAACAGCAGTGACAGGAGCACAATTCCTCCAACTTCTGAAGAAGCCTGCAGGGACATTTGCACTGGAGAACACAAGGTGCTCTAGGAAACACTCATTTCAACTCTGTTTGGCATGTGCACTGAAACATCTGCTCTGGTTTTCCACACTCAGAGCACGGTAAAACCAGAGTTAACAATCTAACCTCTGAAATGAACTATGGAATGAACAAGAGCCAAGCCAAAGAATACCTTCAAACTGGGGGAGGGAGGGCTGAGGGGAAGAGCACTCAAGTTCCTTGCTGGTGCCAAAAGTCACAATTTGAAATCTCTCTACTTTTCCACATTTTTTCCACTAAGATGTGGAGAAAAAGAAAACACTTCATTTTTTTTTCTCTTTCCGTTATTACAGGCTGTCCTCTAATTTCCATAATGAGCTTTTCTATTTTTCTTGCTCCTTATTCATAATTACGCAATACTCAGACACTTACTGCCCAACTCCAACCCTGCATGCCACTATCTCAAAACTTTTATTAGTAGCAGCTTCCAGATGCCACTCTGAATTCAAGCTTGCTTGATTCAGAGTCTAAGAACAGAGTATCTTCCTATCAGTCCAGTCACATCTTCATCTTTGATTTTTCTTTAATAAAATATTACAAGAGCTTTTTCCAAAGCAATGCAGCAAAGGATCTCACTAAGACACAGGGCAGATTTATCGACAGCTATCTGAGATGCTGGATGTACAAAGCCCTTCTTGTTTGCATTCCAGTTCAATGGCAAGCCCACAGTCTGCACATCTATACCTACTAATGTGGGGCAGAGATGCTACATTTCCTCCGCGGTTATGGTACCAAAGGGTGACCAACTTAGCCACGTATATAGGCTTATTCTGCATCCCAAGAAGCAACATATCGGCCTACTGTAGTTACAAGGTTTCTGGCTGACCTCCAACTGACTAAATCTCATCTGCAGCTGCCCTCAAAATACTGTATGGACATTTGTGGTTCTCCTCAACACCACCAGGAAAGCCAGATGCAACCACAGGCTGCCAAGCAACTGTCAGCTCAGCCAAGTTACTGCACCACATGCGGACCACAGACAACACTATAACAAAAGGGGAGACTTTGCTTAGTTGGGACTCAGGCCAGTAGTGACAAGAGACCAAGGTCCTGTGTGAGGTACCACAGACTGAAGTTCAGTGAAGGCAACTTTGTTGTCTTGTTTAAGCTACTGTACACAGGCTGTATGGCCACTCAGGCTGCTTCCAGCACTGAGCCAGGCTGCAGCTCTAGGCCTGTTGCAGGGGAGCACACAGGACAACACAAGGGATGGCTCCACTGCCTTGATTGGTGACAAAGCTGTAGAAAAACAGGCCGGCTGCAGCAAGTACTGGGCAACTGCTGGCCTGGAAGGGACTGGCATCCTGCAGGAGCGGGCAGCAGCCTGCTACTCTGCACCCTGAGTGACAGGGACTGTCCCCTGTGTACTCCCTCCTGTGAGCAGGGAGGCCAAGTCCTGGTCCCACAGCCACCAAGCCGGCAGCCCAGCTGTGCTGAGGCCGTTCTCCAGGCGGGGAAGGCTGGGAGGGCGCTGGGCACTGCTCACTGCCAGGGACGGGAAGCAGCAGCTACCAAGATGACTCCTTGCAGTGTCTCCAGAGCAGACAGCTGCACAGAGACCGGTAACTGTTCTTTTGTGGCAGAGGGCTGCTGAGAACTTCAGGCACTTACCCTACACACTGGTTCCATGAGTGACTGCTCTGCAGAAGACATCAGCGACTGGTATGGTCTTTGCTTCCTAAAGAAAGGATGAATTCAAAGTGTCAACATAAGAGGCAAGAAAAAAAAAAAGAGCTTAAATTATTTCTTTAAATCAGCCTGCAATATTTAAACCTACCATTTTTAACAATCACATTGTCAACTCAGATACTAAAACACTTGTGGAAAAACCTGCTGCAAGGTGTTTCAGAAGAACTGAGAGCTTCTAGTTCCATTTCTTTACTAATATATTGCAATAGCTTATCAGTAAATAGCAGCTGAAATATTCTGTAGAAGACGGAGCTGTTCATCCAAACAGCCTATATTTAAGCACTAGTATTTGCACCTACCAGCACAACATCTGTATTAAATCACATTAAATATGTTTCCTCCTCATCATCATCCAACTGTGCACGCTTCAGTCCTGTTCTAGAGGCATCATGTTGCTATCAGGGTGCTTTCTGCGACCATCTGGCTGATATCCCCCTGTGGACACCTACTAGCCTGAAGAACATCCAGCCATTGAATCTCTGAGTGTCCTACAGCTCCAGAGGTATAGTAGGTACAGTCTCAAAACCTCATGGTGTAGGTAAACTCTCTTGATGCTGATCTTTTGCTTATTATCTGCCTTCAAAACTGCTGCCCACCCAAGCAGTCAGCAGGGTCCAATCTTCAGTCTCCTCCCTGTATCACAAGTCAGCCCTGCTCCCAGAACCTCAGAGCGGTCTAATCCCAGGCTGGTAGGTTCTCGTCAGCAGTGACAGTAAGCAATGGCCATCGTTCACAATAAAGCAGGGTTTGTACTATTAATGAGATAGCATCCATCAGAACACCTATCACGTCCCAAATCATAAAGCTCACTTGCAGTTTGCCTCTCTGCCAAGGCTGCCAGTGACAGTCCTTACACCCACTGGAGGCTGGACCACCAACTCATTTCACATAAGCCCCAACTGACTGTCCGAGGGCATTTAATGTTCCGCTTGGCACCGAATCTCAGGAACACTCACATAAAAAGAACCCAAACCAAATACTCCACGTTACACTTCATCTGAACGTTATCCACATAAATAAGCGCAGCCAGTAATGAAAGAGAGATGTCAACACTACAAGGCGCTGAAAATTATTTTAGGAATAATGAATGCTTCGGGGATTAACAGTACCATATGGTACCTTTCACCTCCAACTTACTGGTACAAATCCAGTTAGAGCAGTGTGGATAAAAACCTTTACCATCTGGTGACTTATTACTTTATGGAAAATAAACAGGTGTTTGTGTCTCACACACCAAATCCATCGTAACTGGAAGTCTCGGTGTCTTTGTCAGTAGAGAGATCAAAGAGGGCCAGAACACTCCTCTGTCTCCCCCAGTACAGCTGGTCCATTGACGCAAGAAGTGAGGACAGCTGAGCACAGTATACTACTACCACCCACTATCAGAAACTAAAACATGATCTACTGTATTTCCAGCAATGACCTTTTTCAGGGAACAGGAGGATTTGTGGCTTTCAAACCGAAATCTTGTCTATTCACCTTCCTGAAGCAACAGGCATAACAATATTCTCTCTCCCTCCAAGCTTTATCTTGCTTGGGTTCTTAGACTGTCACTGCTACGACAGCACTGCTATAAAATATTTCAGTTAGCAGCCCTCACATCAGCCTTGACAAAGAAGCCTGAAGTAACTGGCACCCACACCTCAGTGAGTCCATTTGAGCACGAATCATCTTTCTTATTCAAGAGCACTGTCAGAGTTGGAGTTACCTGGTTGGTTTATAAATTTGCTCTCCCGTGCTCCAATTTCTCCCTGCTACTTTGGAGATTTTTTCTATTATGTGAAAACTGTAAGCATCAACTGTTAGTGCTGAACTTAATAGCAACAGACACAGATATCCCCTGAGCTTCCTCTTCTCAATTTATTTGAGAATCACTTCTTGTACAGCAGAATTTACTGTCTGATTAATACATCCTATTTTTGTTAGTGGCATATGGGAGCTTCTCTGAATAGCTTGAGATTGCAAGAGTCAGAAGACAATGCGTTTGCCTTCTTTGAAGCTCTATTTTTATCCTGGAGCAAGCAGGGCTTTTTTGGCCAAGGCTGAATGCAGCTACTCTCACATCAGGTGATGACTGAGAGCACAAATCACATCAGAGAAATCTCTAAAGTTTCCTTGGTAAATCTGCACCTGTTGTTTTGTAGCCTCTTAATTGAAAAAAAAAAAAAAAATCAACAGTAAGTATTCTTAATTTCATTACCCTGTGTACACTTTGAACACTGCAGATCAAAGGCATGGCAATCCTGGCCAAAGCCTTTCTATTATTCCTCTTTTGACTCTTTTACGAGCATGATTAACATGTGTCAGATAAGACAAAGCTAGGAAATAACTGAGAGAGCTTTGTTAAACCAAAAATCTGCCAGAAATATCATCCTACAGATCGTATTTTTTCTCATTGTTCACCAACCATGCTTGCTCGCTGGTCTGACAATGTAGCCTACCTGTGCCTAGGTGGACTGTCCAGCAAGGCTCCACAGGGAAATCTCTCATCCATCTTCTCTTCTGTGCTTTCCCAGGTACCTTTGAATTCGTATCCGTGCTCCTCCGAATACATACCAGTGCTTCATTTTAGTCACTAAACATCCAGGGCCAAAGCTGGCCCTGCACAAAGGAGAACAGCTTGCATTATTTCACAAACATAAGGCAAGACTGCTTAATTTGAGCCTTACCTTCAGACATCTTCTTTGTCATTCCCAACAACTTGCCTGTTTCTTGTCAAAACGTATGGCTTCTCTTCTTCAGTTGTGCACTAATCTGGCCTTCCTACCCAGAAAAAAAAGAAAACAAGAAATTGCCATCCCCTTGACACATGATAAAATGTAATTACTAGTTGGCCAAAACTAGACTGATACCCGAAAAAGAGAAACTTCCAGCTCCTCTGGGACCGTGCATCTAAGGAGCCAGAGAAATGCCCTTACAACCCATGGGAGTTCCATCAGTGGTCCCACCACGCAGTGCAAAGATCCCTGAAGTAAATGCTTAGAAGCCTTGTGGTCCATGCAGGAAAGCACATTGTAACCATGGATGCAGTAACATTCTTCTGGGCAAACATAAACCAAGATCAGACCCAGATCCAGATCATTTGTTTTACCTTTGTAGTGAAACAAAAGGAAAAATGTCTCTATCTTTGTAATCAGAGAGATCCAGATGCTAGCTTTTTGTATCTTCACTTTCAGAGAAAGACTCAGTCTGTGGAACTGCCCATGCAATAGAAGTGCCACCAGCAGAGCTATGGTGGGGCCTGCAGACAAAACAGATCACTCAAGCATCCAGTATTCACAGCACTGGGAGCTTTGGGTAACAGAAGCCCCATCCCCCAGGCTGCTAACCCAACCAAAAAGCGCTGCTCGGCCTTCTCTCCCTGTGCCCACTTGGGCACTCCTGCTGCTGCCCACGGCATCACCACAGGTTACACTGAGCTAGGTGCTCAGCTGCAGCAGGGGGCCTAAGCCAGACAAAAAACATGGCCCTAAGAAATATTTTAGCTATATCGTATATCGTAACAGTTTGTTTTGTACCTGCCTGGCAGACCACAATGCTTATGCTATTACCTGTATGACCATTACTACTATTTAGCAATGTGTTTCTTCAGTATTTTACAGTATTGACTTCCAGCCCTCTAGTTGGGATTGCTACCAATACCTTGAGCTATCAAAATAGCTGAGGAAATCAATCAGACTCCAAAACCCAGTGTTCTCCTTTTCTGCAGAGAAACAGGAAAGTGGGAGAAAGGAAAATACTTTCACACACGTGTTTGCACACAACTTGTGGCTAGGACATCCTCTTTCTCAGTTATTGAGGTCAAAGTATGAAGAACTGCAGAACCCTTTCATTAATAACTCAAAAATATGGATACAAGTCTGCCTAGACTTTATGTGTACAGTTGATCCTTTTAGCTCAGTCTCCAGGTATGGGGAAGAGGGTGAAATAAAAACTGCAGATTTTTTTTTCCAGTAACACACAACTGCCAGCCAACCAGCTAACTGCAGACTTCAGTGCTGTCAGATGTACTAGACAACACTCAAAAAAAAAAAAAAAAAAAAAAAAAAAGAGGGAAGCTGATAGTATATTCTCTGTTTCTTAGCCGTCATTTTCCCTGCTTCAGTTTCTGTTTTAGCTTCTGATTCTTTGTTCCCTCCTTTAATTTTCTCAACTTCTAGCTTCATTCCTTACATTACAAGCATAGTTTGTCATTTTCTCTCTTCATAAAACAGGACCTGACTAAATCCTGTACACTGAATGTACCTAATGGAATTTTCTCATGTCCCACCTCAGGTGTCTTACTTTACATACGGCTGTGTCCCCTTACATCTAGCTGCCTTTCATTGATTGCATTGTTGCAGCCCAAGTTCAACAGCCTGAACTAATTAGTGAAGAGGAGGACTGAAAGGTGGCCAGCTTGCTATATATCTGTAATAGGAGAAGCTGGCTGAAACCGGGGGCGTCTTCATCTTGCATACAAAGGCGTTTAGCAAGATCCAGTGACCAGATGGTGAACTTAACACAAACAACAAATGAGAAGCAGTTTTCCTGCATTTAATCACGCATTGGTTCTGGAGGGGTTGCTCGGATCCCGGACTCACTCCCACTTGGAGTGCTCAAACCCAGATACTTCCCCCTGCCCTTTCTCAAAAGGGACACCTGAATTTAGCCTCCAAGGGGAAAAAAAGCAGTGGCCACTCGTGAAGGCAGCTGGCAGCAGAGCCTTTTGGCACAAGCAAGTGTACTTCATTCTTGTCCTCATTTGCACCTCTGATGCAGCTGGCTGCACAGAACTAACAAGCTGCTTTAGCCTTCACTGCCTGTCCTCAGCTGCTTTTGAGCAATTCTGGCTTACGTTCTTCACACACTTACCATGATATTGCCGAGCTGCAGGTACAGAAACACTTGTATAAAACTGAGTTTACAGAGCATAAACGTCTCTGTAATACCTGTACAAAACCTTAACTTTGTACACACACAGCACTATTGCAGCCAGCAAGTTTGCACCATCCTGTTCTCTGAAATGGAAAAGCGAACAAGGACTAAAAGGGACAAAGCTTCCGAAAGCTAGTGTATGCACACACACACATTATGTTGAAAGTTTCCCTAGTGGATTGGATTCTTACTTCTGTAAGGTCCAACGAGGCCCTCTTCTCCCCAAAATTTTACCTACTCACATGCCTCAAATGCAGTTCACATGAAGCATTCACAAAGAAATTGATCATGTTTTAGTTGGTCTTTTATTGAGTTCTGTATCCTAACCTGATTCTATCTTTTTTTCAGATATTCTTCAAGCCTTTTATATACAACATGGCCAAAAACAAGCTCAGATTATTCTTCTTTAGTGATACCATGGTTATGACACTGACCACAGCATCTTTGTATCCCTTTCTCCTCTCTAGCCTGCGCTTGATGTTTCTTTCTCCCTGTATTTCTAGAATCTCTCCTTATCAGTGTGGCCATTTTTCGTTATGGTCCTTAATGCTACTGACTATGACAGCCAAAGTCACCACTGGCCTTTCTATACTCACCTCCTCAGGACTGTTCAGCACGGTACTGACAAGGTAATTACCCTACCTGGTAACCATCTTGCCCACAGCTGCCTGGGGAGGTATCCTGGTCCCCTTTCCAATCAGCTCTTTGAACCACTTTTAATCATGATTCCTCGCTGCACCCCTGCAAACAGACATCAGTGGTATTGCCAAATATTCACTTGCTCAGCTGCAAATTGAAGAAATAAGAACTTGAGAGTTGCTGCTAACTTGAAAGAGAACAAAAAAGCAAAAAACGCCACACACACACACAACACCACACTTGACCAGAACCCAAGAATCCCATTGAGAAAATAAGAAATGGAAGTTTAGCTTCTTCATAATAACATGGAAAACTCTATCCCTTCCACAGTTATGTGTGTATATACCTCCCCCCCACAATTCTCAGATTCTGAATTTACCTCTGATATTGTACATTTGGTTTTCATAATCATGATAAATTACTGACATTTAAAACAAACAAAGCCCACAATGCTTTTGTAATTAGGTGGGAAGTTTTGGGATACAGCCCTAGCTCTGTCACAGGCTTTCTAGGTTATCCTGGTCAAGTTACTAAGCGAAGAAGTTTCTAAACATGTGTCAGCCTGAAGTACTTTCACCATGACAGTCAACACCGATTCTTCACCACTACAATCAACAGGAGTACGGGGCTACAAGTATTCATGACGGGACAATCAATTAAGATTGGCATGCCTGTTTCCTGACCTATTAATTCTGCTCCTCTAATAATTAAACAGGGATAACATTAGTGCCTCTTCTGGGTGCTGAAAAGCAGAACTAAGCACTTCAGGAAGGTTCACACAGAAGTTGTACAACTGAATTTCAATGAACTAGCAAAATTAAAACTCAGCAAAACTCAACAGAGCTGGCCAATGATAAACATAAAACAAAGTAGAGAAACACCTTAAGCCTTCGTTGTGGAGTACAAATAAAGATTACGAAAGATCCTGTGTCAGCTACCAGGCATGTATTACATCTAGAAAATTCTCCACAATTTATTTTGTTCACCTACATATTTAGGTACTTCAACTTGTGTCTCAGTAACCATTGTTACCTTGTACCAAGCTACAACTAATAATTGCCTTTAAAAACTGCATGCTGATCTACCTATAAGGCAATGCCAGCAAAAAAGCTTTTTAAAAAGAATAAAGGAGAAAATCTGGCCAAACTTCTTGGCAGTTTTCATTTATCCTTTAAGAACAGTCAGGAGAGCAGATGGTATACCATTCTTGTGTAGCTTCTGAGTAAAGAGAGCTGATCCTTTTACTTAAGAGTCTTATCTCTGGTCAGTCCTCTGTTTGGGAAATGGCACATAGCAAGGTTTCTCCTTGTTACAAGAACGCTTTCCTGACAGGCCTGGAAAAATTTAAGCTTTCCTGTCAGTCAGATGAGCCCCTTTATCCCATCTGGCGACAAACCTTGGATAAAAATAGACTGCCATCTGACTAAGCAACTGCGAGACTGAAAGACACATAAGCTTGAATGCAACAGATCTGTATATTAGTTGATCAGCTGATGCCTTTACAGCAACCCCTTATGGCTGCTGGAAAAACATGTGAGACTTCTTTCAACAGTGCACTTTTTGACAAAACTAAACAAAAGAAAACAAGCATCTGTGTTTTTTGTTTGTTTGTTTGTTTTGGAGTAGACATACTACAGCTTCCCTGTTTTAGAGATGGCTTCTTCTATGTAGAAGGCCCCATGCTATTTTCTTTTCACCAATCCTGTTTCTCTCTCCACTTTCACTTTTTGGGATAGAAGAAAAAGATAAGACTCAAAAGCAAACATACTTCAGATGACCTAAAAGATACCTTTGTAACGACTGAGGTAACACAAAGGAGTCTAACATACAGGAAGGACCACTGTTGGCTATTGGGAAGGTAACAGGACACACACAGATCAGTCTGTATTTGTGACAGTAAAATATTTCACGGTGCCCTAACAGTATTATGAGCATCAGGTTTTAGACAGATATTTATTCTGTCTCGTGTAAGTTCAAAAATAAAATAAATCACTGAAATAAGCTAAAAAGAGAGTCAAATTCAAAGTGAAAAAACCTCCTCATTTCAGATCGAAACATGCTTTATCAGTTTGGTCTTTTGAATTGGCTAACCCGAAAGAAGCGAGAGAAACTCTGCTAACATGAAGTTTGAATCTCTTCTTGTTACTTTAGGTTGAATAAAAATTTGTGGTAGCTCAGGATTCCCTGAGTTTATAACTACCAAATGCTAGCAATTTTTAAGTGTAATCTTTGAGGGTTTTTTTAAATGTATGTATACAGAGCACAACTCACAAAGTTATGCTTTGTTATCTGAACTCTGCGTTTTGGATTTGGGATACCAGAAAAGGAGTATCCCAGTTATTTTCTCTCAAGAATCACATTTTGTTGCCTAGATGAGGAGAACCTGCGAAGAGCAGAAACGTTCATTAAAAAAAAAGGAAGGGACACTCAGGTCACAGCACAAATGGGAGCTTCCTTTTTCTCCAAATGATGCTTTAATCTGTCAGAAGGAAGGACACATCAGGATGATTGTAGTATGTACTTGTCACTATCTCAGAGCCTCCTGCTCACCCATATGCTGCTTCTCACTAAGTCCAGCAAGGAGCCTTCATCCTAGTTGTGGAACTGCATGCAGTCAGACTAAATTACTGCATCTGTGCTGATGAGGCTCAAATGCACGTGTAGGGTTAAAAAACCCTGTAACAGCTCAGCTAATTATGGCAGGGGTAAGGGATGAGAGCTGTCATGCTGGACTTGAACAAGTCATGGGAGTCAACCTGCAAGAGTATAAACTGTAAGGATTTATTGCAACACAAATGGGCACACAACCTGAGTTGCAACAGCTTTCTAGCTCAAGAAGATAGGATGTGTGAAGTATTGACTGTGATGTGTTGTCAGCAGTATGGGTAAGAAGGATATGTCCAAATGCTGCTTTTTAATTTTTTTTTCTTTTAGCTTGCTTGTGTGTGCCAAGACATTAGCATGACAAACGATTCCATAATGCCTTCTTTTTTGCCATTTCAAAATGACTCCCATCTTTAAGTGTTACTCGTTTCTATTATTCCAAGACTTTTGAATCTCAAATGTTTTGGTTTTTCTTTTAACATATTCAAGGGTAATAAAATGATGTTTATTCAGACTGTTCGCTATACCCGTACTGCACAAAGCACAACACAGAACCAGCACATGGCTGCACTCCAGCAAGCTGTACCCCCTGGGGCTTACTATCAGCCTCCTGACACAACAGTTCACCCAGCTCCAAAACAGGTACAGCCTCCACCTGGTCAGGTACAACGTGTCCCATAGCATGACACTCTCATTTACCAGAGTGCCAGGCAAACTAAATGCCTCAGCACTCAAAACCTCTTAGCCCAACTGGCCAAGTTCTCTGTCAAACCCACAACTGAAAGTGCAGCAGTGAAGCGCTGGTAGTAACAGAAGCAGCTTTACGCTTCAGGTTTTAAAACAATCTCCAGGATTAGGGATTAAAAGCACAGACTTTGAGGGCAAAGGCAAACAATCTGATTGGGGAAGTGAGAAACCAATATCTGTTTCTGAAGACGTTACAATACCGGGAACTTTATTCAGACAGTATCCAGTTGCAGATGGACAGTAAGACTTCAGAAATACATTTGCCATGGAGCCTATGGTAGAGAAAGGAAGGGAATCCCATTTTCTGCTCCTCTTTTACAGAGTCCATCTCTTTTTTTCCTTCCTGCAATTTCAGTTTTCAACTAACTCCCTTCCCTACAGTGTAGGGATGCTACAATTCTCACAATCAACCATGGTTCTCACTACCATCTCTCCATTTCCACGAATGTCAGCTAAGCAGGTTTAAAAGCCCTTGCTTCTAATTCCCTTCCAGGCTTTGTTGACCCAGCTTCTGTTTTCTGCAGTTTTAAAGCTCTAACATCTTCCACAATAAGTTGAAGAGCCCTTCCTTCATGCTCATTGACCTTAATCATGACATAGTAGTGTTTAAGAAGTGTTCAGCACACACTAGCAACTAGCATGTTCTCTGCATTTTGTAGCACACTGACCCCAATCAGATGTATCCTTTTTGACAGCCTGCAAAGCATGTTACCTCAGACGTGTGCTTCCCCATAAAAAGACACATCTGCCTTTGCCATCTCATATTTTTGCCCCTTAAACCCAACTGAGTTAACCACCACTCTCACTTTGCCCACACTCACAAAAATTTTCTCACGGAGTTGTGTCAAGTCTGCACAGAGCAAGTTACATTTCTTCTGGTCAAATGAAGAAAGAAATAACAACAACAACAACAACAACAACAATAATAAAAGGAAGAACAACAGAACTTCAGGGAATCCCTGCTTTGATTTCACTACTTTTTCTCAGTGAGTAATGCTCACCCTCTCTGAGTTCGTTAATGACAATATAGTCTTTGAAAACTTGCAAGCACAGAACCAAAACTTGCAAGCACAGAACCAAGAAACACTCCTCACATTGCTGTATGAGAACTCTGTTGCCCATCTTTTGATTTCACAAGAGATATTCAGCCAATGCATAAACACAGAAGGAGTGCAAACCACTCTAACTGGCACAGAAATCAAAGGACAGAGGTTCTTTACTGTAGAACGGTCAGTCAGATGTAATGCCAGTGCAACACGCTTAGCTGTTTTGACCTAGAAAGTCCTAAATGAACTGTGACTACTCCGGAGACTCCTTCACCCAGCTGTGACTCACTACAAGAAAATCTTGGGCTGGAATCTCCTGCATTGCTCCTAGCCTGATAACTTAAAACCACGTCTTTTAAAATTGGTTTTTGTCTCCTAATTTAAAATTCAAGCTAAGAAAGACTGGAGTGGCAAGCACTTGGATGTTCCGGTATTAATACCTGTGTATTGTTGCCCTGTTTTTGTATCTTGCTACTGGTCTGCTTCCAGCACAATTTCTGTTTTAATTACTGCTTGCCTTCACATTATATTCTACACAGAGTGAAGTTCCACAAACACACAAAGATATCAGGCAATAAGTTATTAAAACAAATGCACACCTGCCAGCCGTGCAAGACACCTACTTCCAGTTTGTCTGGCCCTCTCCTCATATTCCTTTGTGCCACGTGGTTACATCTCACCCTGGCTGCATCCAACCCTGGAGCATTTGCTGGATTTCTCGTGCTGTGTTTGTGCTCGCTCTGTATTAGAGGAGAAACCTCTTTCACTTGAAACGGGCACAGACTGTGTGCGGACATTGTGCACGTCCCTCTCAACTGCTGCTTCAGTGGCTTTTGAAGCCCAGCTGCTAGGCACACAAAGCGTGTGGCATCCCCAGAATCGGAGACCGGGGAGACCAGGACACCCAGGGGCGTGCCCGCAAAGGGCCAAACCTGACCCGCAGCCGCAGTCTGGGCAGTGGGCGGCCAGACCCCGGTCCCGGCCCCATTTCCATTCCCGTTCCCGTTCCCCCGGTACCGGCCCGGGGCCCAGCCCGCCGGCAGCGCCCTGTGGTCCCGCGCTGCCGCCGCCAGGGGCCGGCAGAGGCGCACGGCGGGGCGCGGCCCCGGCCCTCGCCCTCCTCCTCCTCCTGGTCCTCCGCCGGCGCTGCCCAGGGAGCTGCCCGCTGCGCTGGAGGAGCGTTTCCAGCCAGAAGCCGCGCAGCTGCGGCATCATCTGAGCGGGGAGTACATGTACGTGTCGATCAGCAATACCAGCACCGCCACAGCAAAGCTTTCCTTCAGCAAAGTCTTTTAGTGCCAATTATTTTATAGCATGGAACTCCAAAGGTTATTTGAACGTGGCAAAAAAAGTGAATCGACTTGAAGCCTGCTGGTTGTGTTTGACTAAAATTCGTTGCAACTGCAAAGGACATACAAACATTACCTCTCCTCTTTCAACAGCGAAAGATTGAATAGAGCTCTGCATGTTGCCCAGCTCTGAAAAGCTTGTGTTTCTGTTTCTCTGCAGCATTTTCCTTCTTCCAGGCCTCGGCACTTTTCTAACAAATTATTTAATAACCTTTGTTTCTCTGTGTCTGGGATTGAATTCCATTTGTTTTGCTCTACCTGTGCATCAAGCACTGCTGCTCACACAGATGACCACATGGGCTATAATGGACTCTTCTGGAAAATATTTCACTCAAAACCCCTGTATTGCTCATGGAACATCATTTGGTGAATATTCACCTGTGACAGCTGAGTCGACAGAAGTGCTGTTGCAAGTAAATAAACACAAACTCACCTTAAATGAAGTTTCACAAGGGAGTTTCATCTGTAGGTAGTACTTTGTAAAGATAAAGTTCATTAGTAGCAGCAAGATGCCTGGGGAAAAAAAAAAAAAAAAAAGGCAAGATAAGTTTATTCCCCTTGCAGGATAGGAAACATTCTTGTGCATCCCTTTACTTTCAATACCTCATGTGCAAGCGCTGGTATTTGACAAATGTCAACGAACTCTCAGCCCCTTACTTCACTGCTCCATGAAAATGAAAGGACAGCTACTCCCTCCACCAAATACCGTGCATTCTCAAACTCTTTCAGTGAAACCAGAACATATGACAAGTTGATAAAACACCCCATGCTCAGTCCTAAATAACCCCGAGAATGTCATGTTAAACCCTTACTTCCTGTACTAGGAGAGAGCATGAACACATCTTGATGTCACTTAGTTTTATAGATCTTTGCCATATTCCCCTCTCAGTTGTATCTCTTGAAGATGTCACCCTGAAGCTGTCACAGAAGGGGAAGAAAAGCAGTGACACCAAATGAATGAAAGCTAAACATTAATTGTGTCAGTGAACCTAGCCCAACTTGAGCTCTGGTTTTCAGAAACTATTTTCAGTCCAGTTTTCAGTAAGGCTTACAAGTTTTTTTTTTTTTTTCCTAGAAGGTAAAGATGAAGCAACAGCTAGCAGATTCTGGGAAACAAACAAAACAATACCATGGATTCCTCAAAAAAAACAACACCAAACATATGCACTTCAAAAGAACATAAGGCATGCCCTTCTGATCCCTCCAAAGAACGGCTTTTGCCACTTCTCTTGAAGAGGCAGCACCATCAGGATGGCTGGACACAGGAAACAAACAACAGAAGCGGATTTTCCTCGCAATACTTTCTCTTTTGGAAGCCTACTCACTTACAGAGTACGTCTTCCAAAGGTAAATTCATTCTGCATGTTAAATCTTGGATGAGAACCCTAACTATGTCAGTTAAAATCAGCAAGTGTCACTTAACTCGAAAAGAATTTAAAATAGGGAAAGGCAGGATGCCCTAAGGTTAATATCATGGGGGCAGCAGATCCACTGAAACTGAATGAGGCAGAGCAGAAATTTGCCTGGCGTAGTAGCCTCATCCCAGCACTAGCAGCAGGAGTGGTTTAAGTTCAGACCTTGGATTTTATGCAGAGGACGTCACGCTTTTGCAGGTCCATGTTGCAAGCCAGCATCGTGCTCGTGTGCTTGAATGGCCTGAAATACTATCACCTGCTTCGCAGAAGAGCGCGTTAGCGGAGGTTCATCTCTACGCTGCACGGCTTCCGCTCAGAGCTGGCCAGCATCCATCTGGCTCCAGGCACAGGCAGAGCGAGCTTGTGTCTGCCTGCTAAATACCATGCAAATGGCCCCTTACTTTACAGTTCTGGTATGAAAGGGACTGTCCAAGAACACATGATGAACAGACGTAATTACATGGTAAAATAAAAAGAATATAGGTGAAAGTTTTGAGATAACCATAATCACTGAACTGTATTCATGCTGGTGGACTGAAGAGAATACAGATCGGAGTACATCGCATCCGACTGTTGTTTTGTACATCAGGACAGACTCTGGTTGAATTTTTACAAAATTGCTGTAAGAATGAGACCTAACCTCTATATAAGCTGCAATTAACTGCCTAGGGCATCTGTGGTTGACCAGAATTTATAGGCTTAGATACCTAAAATGTGAGCAATGTTGTTTGAGAGCTAACTAAAGCCAGGCATCTGTCTAGCATGCTGGCAGGTTGCTAAAATTTGGCCAACAATCTGTATTCCATGGAAAATATCAACTCCACTAGTATGCATACAGCTCAGTGTCAGATGTAAACACACTTCCATTTCATTAGCTGCTCACCAGCTAAGTGCAAGGAGAAACACAAGTTGCTGGGGATTGTGTTTAACATTTTATTTCATTAATCTTTATTACCAACCTCTCAGACTTTCCACAGGTACGCAGATTTTTAACTAAAATGGTAACTGTGCCAAAAACTGTGTGGTCAGCTTGCATCTTTGAGCCATTAGTAACAGTATCTCACTTTGAACAAACAAGTGGCTTGGTCTTTGGGTCTTCACCTCCTTGGTTCACATTTAAGAATTCAGGGAATCTCCAACTTCCATACAGCCTCAAAGGAAAACCAGGAACAACAAGAACACAGAAAACGAACAACAACAACAACAAAAACCAACAACCACCCTGAAGACTGTACTCAACAGTAGATGAAAAATGGTATTTTCTAGATTTTTACAAGACTCACTCTTTTTTTCAGACTGGTCAAGGATAGAGCAGAAAGCAACATCAGTGATAAGGAGCTGTCAACAAAACTACAGTTTATAAACATTTTTCTTCATGTAGTATTTGAGGAACTTAATTGAGAGGTATACTTCTCTCCCTCGGTGGTGCTTGGGCACCAGTAGGTAGCTCAGCACCATCACATTGGCTCGCATTCCCACTCTTCCAAAGGACGGGGGAGAAAACAGCATGAAAAACCCTTATGGACTAACATAAGGACAGAGACATCATTCAACAGTTACCATAACGGGCAAAACTAACTCAGCATAAGGAAGTTTAATGTATTTCACTGCCTATTTAGAACAGACTAGAGCAGTGAGAACTAAAAGCAACCCCAAAACAACCCCTCACCCCCTCAACCCCCTTCCCTCCCAGCCTCACCTCGAGTGGCACAGAGGAACAGGGAACGGGGGCTGCAGTCAGTCCCTGATGCTTTGTAATCTACCGCTCCTTCATTTTCATGCTCTGCCCCTGCTCCACGTGGGGTCCCTCCCATGGCATGCTGTCCTTCTCAGCATTTTTTTCCCCTTCCTTAACTCTGCTCTCCCAGAGGCCCACCCAATGTCGCTCCCTGGCCCAGCTCTGGCCAGCAGCAGATCCCTTTGGAGCCGGCTGGAGCTGGCTCTGGTCTGACATGGGGCAGCTGCTGGGTTCTGCTCACAGAGGCCACCCCTGCAGTCCTGCTGCTATCAAAACCTTGCCACATAAACCCAATAAACCCTCCATGGCAAAGCAATTAACAACACAGTCCTTCTCAGACACAAATATCCTCATAGAGAAGTGCTCTAACTGATGGTCTGAATTAGTAGCCAGAGATTACTTCATGTATTTGGCCAACGAGGAAGCTACGAAGTAACCTGCCACTCCTCTCTACAACAAAGCTACTCCCTTGCCCAACCCAGGCTACAATCTTCAAAGTTCCTATTGCTTATTCCCTCCTCCCTCTCCCAAGTCTGCCCTGGCTCTTTTGAAACTCACCAGGTGTTGGTCAAGGCCACTATCTTTCTTGAGAGTGCTTCTAAAGTTCCTGCAGGACTGCTCCCCTTTCCTGCCAAGCTGCCAGTCATCACAGGGCAAACACCTTCTTATACTGCTCGTTTCTCCTCCTCTGCTAAGATAAGTTGTATGACACAGGTTATTGCTGTGTAACCATACCAGTGCTGGGGTGAGAGAGATCTACCCCACTTACAGTTGAACAAACTTAAGTATGTTGGCAAGGCACAAGTCGGAAAAACATTCATTATCAAGAAGCATCCATCTTTTCTGCAAAAGCATCCACTGTGCAGACAAGAGCCCACCTCCCTTGATCAGCTACCCGCTTTCACATACACAGCTGTGGAGGTAGGAGGCCAGAGGGCTCTCTTGCACCTCCAAGCATAACGCAAGTGGTCTCCCAGTCTGTTGCCTGTATCAGAGAGTTGGAAGACTGAGGAACTTGGCTCTTGGAGTAATATTGTAGTTCTCTTCATCTCATCCCTAGCTTTTGTTTGCTGGCCGTGACACCAGTTCTGCATTACTATATTTATCAGATTTCAGAACAGTGTAAGATTTATGGGCAAAAAGTATTCTCTCCAAAACTGGAAAAACACGAATAGCAAAGCAGCTCGGGCAGAGCCAACAAGCAACTATTTCTCACTAATCTAAAGATGCTAGCTTGTTAAAATGGCACAAGTAAGTTTATTCAGCATGTGCTTGAGCACACGATGCCAACATCAACCCAAGGCCACCTGTTATGGATGAACTGTTCCTGTATTAACCATTATAAACCTTTCCCATTGCAGCACATTTAGCCTGGGAAGATGCAGACGGCATCAGGATGGTATGAAATGAAGTTTTTCACCAATTTTGTAGCAGCAGCCAGGCTTCTCTGAATTTAATGTTGTCTACATCACTTGTTCAGGAGGAATGGGAGAGTTTTATGCTTAGTAAGATCTTTTCATTAAAAATTGATAAACTCTACAGCTTTCTAAGTCTCTGTAGCTATTTCTTCCTTTTATTCTTCTTATATAATAATAGCCTATGGACAAATTTGGAAAGGGTAAGTGAGGACACATTCTATTTTGACTAAAACTGTAAAAAGATAATATTATTTATAAAGCACCTATCACAGTGGCATCTGAATGCTAAGAAGTTTAGCAGACAGGTTTTAAAGGCAAATAAACAGCAAGGATAATTTACATTCCCCTCTTAGGCATGCCATTTGGACGTACTGCTCTCTCTTTCCCCTCTCCTACAGATGTTAAGAAAGTGACTGCAGAGAAATCTCAAGTCCAGCTACTCCCATACTCCAGAATAATAAGCGTTCTGCATGGTTTATTCTGCTCAAATGCAATTCTCACTGATCACTTGACAGGTGATGCAGCCAACCAAAACAAAAAACTATATTTAAATCTGGGTTGGTGTTTTAGAAGAAAATAAAATCCTGTCTGCCCTGAACAGGATCAGTTTCTTTTCTAAACCAGAAGAGTATTTTGGAAGCCAAACTGCTTTCTGATCGACATACCACACCAAGTGTGGTCAAACAAATGTAGAAATAGTCTATTTAATCTGGAATCTTGGCTGACAATGGACAGCACCAAAAAATTACCAGAAGAAAAAAGAAAACTCACATTTCAGAGATCAAATCTGGAAAATACTTCAGTAAAATCTGGCCCCCCACAAATATACACACAGATCTGTGGTTACTTGGAGTCCTATATACCATCACTGTAGTAGAAAAATGAAAAAGCTACCTTCGGATCTCCAGTCACAGCTGTCCAAGTGCAAGGCAGCTGCTATAGAATAAAAATATACTTTATTTATTTATTCCTGATAAACAGGAATGACTCATGAGAACAGCTTTCTACTATGCCAGTCCATAAATCTGCAAAACAAACATGATTATTGCCCTCAAAGTAATTTGCTCTAATAACTCCCATCAGTTCCTATGAGCTGACTTCAAGAAAAGTCTCCGTCCATATAGCTGTGTTACACTCGATTTTAAGATGGCTAGTATCTTAGCATGATCTGGTTTTGTTTTTACTACTATAAAGTGTCAAACAGTGTGGCTGTCTTTGGAAATTACACAAGGGATAACATCTGTTAGCGTTGCTGTTCCAGTAAGAGTCATGGCCAATCCAGTTCAGATGCATAAAAAAGTAACTCGAGACCAAGTTCATGCTTTGCATTAAAGCTTACTGGAATCCTTAAGCCAACTCTCGATATTGTGAAAATGAAAGTTACAGCTAGGAAATTTTTCTGTTGGAAATGCATCAATCCCCTATGCAACAACAACTAAACACATGCTTGCATATCACAAAGATGTCCAAAATCTTAAGCAGGCACCCACTTAAAAGCCTGTGTGATGAAGCTGAAACACCCAGTCCGCAAACAACAACAAGATACATAAGGTGTCTGGCACCTCAGATCAGAAGGCGAATGTGCTGAGATCATGCTGACCAGGACTGCCTAATCGCTTCCGTGTTTCCCCTCACCTCCCCAAATCTGCACTCTGTCCTATGCTTAGCCTACCTTTAAATAATTTTTACTAGCAGAGAAGTTAGGTATACTAGCGAAAACTCTAGAGTACTTTCCACAACAGGAATATAATCACGTTTGTGTCACTGTATTTTCATTCTAGTTCACCACACATAGGAAACAGACACTTAAAAGAAATAAAAGAAACAGCTTAGGAGGAGTTATCAAAAGAAAAAAAAAACACACACACACACACAAGGCAATTAATTAAGGCCACAGAATGGGAGCAAATGCAGAGGCACTAGTAAAAGGGTGACAGGTTTGAACTCTGGGGCCAGGAATTGTTTTTAAGGCTGCATTTTGTATGAATAAAAGCATGAAGAGATGTGTACCTCTCACAGCCTGCAAAATGGATGTTTTAATAATCCAGACAAGACAAGGAAAGCCTACAGAAAAGCCTATCTGTGCAGCTGAGTTAGGAAGGGCGTGTTGCAGAAGAAGGAACTGACCGTGTTTAAACATAAATTAGACTATGGTTTCAGCTTTCAATCCAACATCATTAAGCAATTATTCCCCTCCCACAAGCAGTGAGGCTGGGTATATAAAAAGACCCAACAAATTTCTGCAGGCCAGACAGTATGGTTTCAGACCGCCAGATGTGAGAACCAAAAGAAAGCAAAATATCACCTAGATGTGAGGTTCTGGGGAAAGGTTTTCGCTGAAGGCAATACCTTGACTATGAAAGTAAGCGATGAGCAGAATGACAGCACATTCTACACAGAAATGAGAGCAGCAGTGGATGAAACACCTCGGTTCTTACGCATATTTCTGCAGACCATCCATGAGAAGCTAACAGAGTAATGGGGTGAGACTTCAGTATTGTCAAGGACACAGACCTCTGGACTAAAGGTAATTCATGACTTGCCATGTGAAGGGGAAGCTAAATTTGCACTTGAAAAATGAGACCAGTCAGAGAAAAAAAAATCTCTTTTGGGAAGAGTGATTAGAAAAGGAGAAACTCAGGCAGCATAATTATATAAATCAAGAGAATGAACGTGACATTTCAAGAACACTATACTGACGGTATCAAAGGCAAAAGATAGCACAAGACTGAAACTGCTTTTTGAACGTTGACTTGGAAACTTTTTGAGGGTTGTTTCAGTAGTATGAAGGTAAGACAGATTGGAACGCGTAGTCAAAACCCATAGCACGGGGTACGTAAGAAAACTGAGGACACATTCCAGCAAAGCAAGTTGAAACTCTTAAATAGTTAATTCATAGAAGGAGGTTACATACTCAGTTTCCTATCCAAATAGACTTCCTGCACATGAAATACAAGCCAGTATTTCTATTTCAGTAAAAAGGCATTTGCTATCTTAAAGAACATTCATCGACTCCGCATATTCTCTAGAAGGCAAACTTTTGATAACCAGACACTGGCAGACCTCAAAAGAACTCAAATTGTTTTCAAGAGAACAAAAAAGAAAAACAAAGAGCTAATTCTTGCTAAAGGAGTGAGGGGAGAGCAGCAGGAAATATTCTGCATGAGCCAGAAGCCAAGAAAGCTGGTGGCCAACATCAGAATCTCAAAACATGGACGGCTATCAAAAATAAGAGTTGTAGATAATGTCCATGAAGAAGAGGGAGTACCGGAACAAAAAAAATCCAGGTGTCAAACCTGGTGATGAATACTGGTTTCAGTGATTCAAGTGATTCCATGGTACCTTGTTTGGGTATAAAATGCTACGTATAAAGCTAGCAGAGATCAGACATGAAGTCATTGGGAACTGGATACTCAAGACCGCAAATAATCTTGTCAGTCTGTTCATCACCTTCTTTGACATATACAAGGAAAAAAAATAAAAGCAGCAACCTTCCCCAC